GGCTGATCTTGGTCTGCATTGGTGGCATGGGTAGAATCAGTGGCCACTAGCAGGTTAATAGTGGTTAAGATAGAGATTAATTATCCAAACAAGGAAATAACATTTTGAAAAGAAATAAAAAAGAGATGAGCTAGGGGTGTGGGTTAATGTAGAGTTCTTTGTGTAAGAAACACAGAAAGTTAATGACAAAAAAACATTGAAGTGTATAAAAAATATATTCAAGATCAGCATTATATTCATGATTGTATTAGTAGATTTCATTTATGCAAAAAAAAAACCAATAATTATATGATAATTCACATTCATTCAATTTTTCTTTAAATCAGTCAAATCTGTCAAATCTAAGATCAGTTTCCTATTCAAAATCAGTGAAAAATTGATTTGATAATTGTAAATCATTTAGAATTTTTATTGCAACTTGCTTGTGACATGCTGATTTCTTCCTTAAGTTCACAATTTAAAAGAGCACTTTTGCATTGCACTGTCTTAAATATCAAATTTGAAAGCAACATATTGCTGATGCTTGGAAAAACCAATATTGTGGAGGGACTTCAAAGGATTTGTTTGTATTTTACAATATTTCTGAATGGAGCAGGGAAAGGAAATGTTATACTTTTAAAGAGGTGATAAATTGACTGCTTTCATAAAAATACAGCATTTGCACCCACCAAATTCAATGTTAATGGGCATATGAAATCATGTGCTGTTAAAAATGAAATCATGTGGGTTAATTTACTAGCACATAAACTAGGAAGAATTTTATTTTATTACTCAAGATCCTTTGTTATGTACAAGTCATATGATGAAATTTTTCATGTTAATGTCTTTTTTCAAATTTTTATTTACCGATAGCATCTGAGATACTGACATGTTTATATGTTATGATAAATGTGTTTCACGTTGTAATTTTATCATATTTTATAATACATGGCTGCAGCTTTGATCGTGTTTTCCTTTTTCCCTGTGAAGCCCAAACCTGCAGAATATCATTATAAAATGGCTTTACCTTACATTTAACTTGAAACAGTTCATTTATAGTTTAAGGGATGTAAATATGAAAATATAAAAAAATATATATGATAGAACTACCAACTTAATACAGTGTAAAGCCAGTGTGTACAGACATTCAGGCTGGCCTGGCTCTTTACTTGAGGTTGTTGCTCAGCACTTTAGGTTCCAGCCGGTTAAATAAGAGTTAAATAAGGGTTAAATAAAGAATTTTGGCCATATAATCTATTCATTATAAAGATTTTTTTAGAAGTTACCCGACATTGTATATGTTTAATGTGTATAAACGGTCGTTTTGCTCTGTGGCTTTGGTTATATAAAGCAAAACAACTGTTTTCACTGGGCCATATAAACGTCTTATATAACTGGAAGTAATATTTAAGCCAGGTCGGCTCACATACTTTAGCACGGTGTGACCACACTCTACTAGAGGTAATATTTTCAGAAATAGTAAATTAACTAACAATGTAGTGTTCCTTATTCAATTTTCTATTGGTCTGTTAATACGCAAATTAAGCCAAGGACGAAAGTTACATGTGGAAATGGTGTATATCAGTGCATTTTGCATGTTTGTATATATGTCTGTTTTTACAGTACACCATCCATCACAAACAGTAAACAAATCGCCTGTTAATTTAGGAATGTTGCTCATTTGGATGACAGTTTACAGACTTTGGAAATTTTAAGTTTTTTTAGTGCTGTGTTAATTAATTATTTAAATTTTTATGATTTGACATTAATTGCGTATGTTGCAGGAAACTTTTTATAGCAAAAATGAATATGCCAATTTTTGCAATATTAATGAAAAGTAAAATTCAGAATATTTTAAAATATATAAAAACAAAATCCCCACAGAATGCCAAAACAGCAAAATTTAAAAAATGTTACAGGCTCGGTTTCACTCGATTAAGACCCGCTTCTAAAAATTATTATTAATTTGTTTGTCAGACCGTTTTTGTATTTTTTGACGCAGTCAGGAAATACAATGCTGACATCGCGACAGACCTAACAACAAGTAGTTCTCAGAACAGTTTAAAACTAGCTATGTAAAAGAAAGAAATATGTTTATTTGTCACAAGTATCCAACAAATTACAACGCATTCAAAATTTAAAAGTAGTGGTGGCTTATAGAATAGACAATAAATGCACAATCACAAATTACGCAGATGAATAATTTTAATCAATGAAAATGCTATTTTTAGCGATGTCGATAACCGAATTCTTCATAGCGTAGTACACAAATAAATCAAACTCCGTGCACCGGTTACGCTACGGCCTGTAATGGGAGATCACTGCGTAGGAGATTGCAAATAAATCTGACTGTCTAGTAGTGAAATATATACATGTCGGGCTGTTTTGGCGAGAAGATTTTCGCTAAATTATTTACATCAGTGTTAAACAACAGGTTTATCGTAAACTAAATACATCAAAACTAATAATTTTAAAGATTACAAACCCGAAATGGAAATACTAAATTCAGAATTGTTTGATTTCATTCAGGCTTTCTTCGTGTAACTTCCCCGTGGTACAGGGGTAACACGCTCGTTTAGGGTGTGAGAGGTCAGGGGTTCCAATCCCATTCGAAGCAACTATTTCTTAAGTGTCTTTTTTAAGAAAGTAGACACGATATGCAATGATAATGTGTGGCTGTCATAAAAAATGAACATTAATTATTTTTTTGAAAATTCCATATGTATCAAACTCAAACTGTTATAGTAAAAAATCTATACGCAGTCGCTGCATCTCGGTGCCCTGTAAGACGAATTAATTTATAGTATATAAAAATATACTTATACAGGAAAATACATACAGATGTACTGTACAGTACGATTTAGATTGCAAAGATCAGAAAATACCACAGAGCTTTCAGCCCTTTGATTGATTGATTAATTGATTGATTGATTTATTTGATTGATTGATTGATTGATTCATTCATTCATTCACTTGCTTGCTAGTTTGTTCATTCATTTTGTTTCTACTTGCATTTACAAGACAATGCTTATAGATATAAATATTGCAGCAGAGCAGTGCAATAATGTCATTCATTTTTATGGCTTTTCTTGACACGAAAAAAGCATTCTTTTACTGCAGCTTGGATCTAGATGTGTAAATAGTTTTTACTTTATTAATTGCTGTGTTTTGGTGAATCAAAAATGTTGATTTTTCTCTTTTTTAATGATAATTATGTTAGAAACAACAAAAACTGTACTGCAACTTATAATTCTCTTACTCTAACCTGACTTAATTTTAAGACATACGTGTGAAGATGTTAATTGGGGAACAAATAGTTTGACTAATTAAAAAAGTATACAAAAAAAGTATAAGTTAAATCTGATTATCTGACTCTGAAATACCTTTTCAATGGTTTCTTAAGTCGTATTAAAAACAAAGCTGTTACTTCAATTCTTAAGTACCCTATATACCTGCATATAAGACTTAAAAGGTTAATAAAACACACTTATAGTTCAGACCATTGCATTGACCCTCTTATAAGACACGGCCATACTTGTGCAGACAGTAAAAAAATTTATTTATTTGAAATAGTTAGCATGTCAGACTTTTAAATAATGTGTCTATTATTTAATTATATACCTGTGTCTTTTCTTAGCACAAATTTACTGGGAACCAGTCACAAACTGGAATAAACTGGCTCACATTCAGTATGCTGTCACATTAGTTGAACACCAGCTTGTTTACATTCTAGAACATTGTTCTAGTATTTTTAGCAATCAAGGACACCCAAATCTGACATTAATAAAAGAATAACTTGATTTATATCTCTAAAAGAATACAAAAATCTTGGCATTAGTCATGTTATGATTGTTGTTTGTTTAATAGGGTACAAAATTATTAAAAAACGATTCATCCAAACCATTTATATTTAGGAGGTAGTTCAGGATAGATATAAAAACATTCCTGTTGATATTATGTAGTATAGTCATTCATGTGCAACCCTGGAAACTTGTCTATAGGAAACAATTACCTTGCCTTTTGGATTTACTTACCTAAATCTGTGGGGTCAATCAGATAATAAATTCAATAATAAAAATCCCAACATTATGAGTTGGGCATGATCCTCTGCTTTTTTAGCACCAAATAACCCTTTTGTATTTACACTGCAGAGTTTGACAGGTCAAATGTGAAACCCAGCTCAAGTACAGAACTTTCCATCCGCATTACTCCACGAGTTAGGGAACCTGGTCATAATTGGTGTTTTAATAATAAAGATATTTGCCCAAATGTTATGACTATAAATTATTACCCCCTCCCCACCACCACCCCTTCCCCCATCATTTTAGATTCTTTCATAATTTTCGATGAAAGCACTCAGAGAGAAAATAGTACCTGAGGGTGTGTGACAAATTGAACAATTTTGGCAATGGGTCATTAAGATGTCAGAGCAGTCACATGATCTTTGAGTTATACACAAGGCAATAATATAACCATCCTTTTATGATGCGTAAATATTTAATGAAAATGTTCAAATACAAATATTCATTATGTCTATAGATGAGGCATTATTGTTATGTTGATAACATTTGAGCCGTGTCATGACAAAACCAACATAATGGGTTTACGACCAGCATGGATCCAGACCAGCCTGCGCATCCGCGCAGTCTGATCAGGATCCATGCTGTTCGCTATCAGTTTCTCTACTTGTTACAGGGTTGGTAAGCGAACAGCATGGATCCTGATCAGACTGCGTGGATGCGCAGGCTGGTCTGGATCCATGCTGGTCGCAAACCTATTATGTTGGTTTTGTCGTGACATGGCTCATATGTTATATAACAAGAAAACCATGGAAAATCATATAATTCATATGATATATTTGTACTTCGATGAAAAAACATGTAAATTCTCGTAAAATTTATCATTTTCATGTGAATTCTCATAAAATATATCAATTTCATCAGATAGAAGCCTGTTTAATTCAATATTGAAATAATTTGTAAAAAAATACTTGAAATATAAAAAACTGTTTCTATTTTCAGGTATTTTAACATTTGTGAATATTGTCAGCGTGAAGGCAGCCACAAAAATCCAGGATATATTTACAGTCGCAAAATTACTTGCCTTACTGCTGATTATCTTTACTGGGGCTGCTATGATAGCTATGGGTAGGTAGAAATATGATTTAGTTTGATAAAGGGAGGTAACTGTGTTTCTGGTAATTTGTATATTGTACTGATTGTCTTTCTTGTTTGGGGTAGAATTTTAAAAATCATTCAAAAGTTTGTCACCTTAGTGCAGAAATGGGTTAACTCCTATTTAATTATGTAAGGAGTTAAACCATTACTGCAGTTAGGTGACGAGTTGATGATTAGTTTATCACATCTTTATTATAAATGATTGAAAATATGCATTGTTTAATAATTGAAGAATGCAAGGATTCAGATTTTTTATCTATATTTTCTTTTGTAGTCCAAATGGTCTTTAATAACTGTAGTGGTAATGATAAATAGTTGATTACTAGTGCTATTACAAATGGTTCTTTATTTGGGAAGGAAATCATGTAGGTGACTTGCAGATAAATTGATAATTTTACTTGTTAGTTATCCTGGAAAGTCAGTCTGGTGGATCAACTGCTGAAGTATGACCAAAATATGTGTTAAAATCAACATAAAAGACAATCTAACAAATATTTGACAAGGAACAATGTATAGTTTAGTACATAATAATACCGTTCTTTTATGAAATTTATTTCTTTGATGAAATTGACAGAACAATTGAAAGAACAGACTGGTTCCCATTTAAGTAGAAAGTTCTGGAGCTGTTGATGATGTATACAGTAAACTCCATTTATAACGATATTCAGGGGACTTCCAAATTTATGTCATTGTATCCAGATAACATTTGAGCCGTGTCATGACAAAACCAACGTAATAGGTTTGCGACCAGCATGGATCCAGACCAGCCTGCGCATCGACGCAGTCTGATCAGGATCCATGCTGTTCGCTATCAGTTTCTCTACTTGTAATAGGGTTTGTAAGCGAACAGCATGGATCCTGATCAGACTGCGCCGATGCGCAGACTGGTCTGGATCCATGCTGGTCGCAAACCCATTATGTTGATATTGTAACAAGTGGAGTTTAATTTATATATCAACTTTTGTCAAGCCTTGTTTCCAGTCGTTTTTGTTTTTTGCACAAACTTAATTTTTAATTTCACTTTTCAGGGGAGCATGAACATATAGTGAATGCATGGGATAATATAGACGGTGCTAATGTAGGGGTAGGCTCAGTGTCTCTGGCATTCTACAGTGGACTCTTTGCTTATGCTGGATGGTAAGTTAGTGTGATGTAAGGGAGAAAACTCTGATTTGAATAGGTTTATTGTTATTATGTAGTGAAAGGGAAGCAACTCCGATTTAATTTTGTTTAAGGAGACAGCTTAAACACTACCTTTCTTGATTCTTTATCAATAAAAGGTCTGGAAAAAATATTCCATTATCTGTTTGTAAAATAATGTGGTAATGGTCAATTGCAAGTACATACAGTATGAAACTTGTTAACTTGTTAGCATAATCGGACAACAATCAGATAAAGTCCTAGGCTTGATTGGCAGCTGGGGGTCTGATCTTTCAGTTGATAAGGTCAAAGGTTATCACTTGGATCTTTGTGTATAAATGGACACAGCTGCTGATAATCCTCTAAGTTTTGCATCCACTATATGTGTGGTGCCATATTTAGGTGACTTTTGTACTACTAGAATAAGTATGGGGTAAATAATTGGGAAAAGAACAGGGTATTATCTGACAATGGAATAATTATTAAATCTGGGATTCACGTACAAGAACTGCTACAGGAGTTTAGTTGATCTTAGGGGGTGAGTTTGTGGAACTGGCCCCCCTTAGCTGATGTCGCATACCCTAACACCCTTAGATCAACTGAACCCCTTTAATGATTATTCCATCTTCAGATAATACCCTTTTATGTATATTGCAAATTATCATATTTGGGAATATCATAATGTCATAAGATAAATATTATGTTAAAGAAGCATTTGTTATGTTTTAATCTTTGCATACAATACTGAAAAAGGAAAAAAAATACAGATAAAAACATTTGTTTGTCTTATTTCTTAACATAAAAAGCTAGTATGTGAAATGATATAATTGGCTATAATGCTACAATTTGGGATCAGTTAACATCCAAATTGAGAAAATTAATGTAATGTTTTATGTTAATGACAATGTACAGGTAAAAGCAAAGATTATGTTAAATGCAATATTCTCTTACATATACATAAAAGTTGTTGTAAAGTTGAATGGGAATGTTGATATATTTTGACTGAATAAAAAAATGATTATTTTCTGAAAATGAAAATACATACATTGCATGTATTTTGTAATTTCTTTTTTTTCAGGAATTTTCTTAATTTTGTAACAGAAGAATTGATAGATCCTTACAGGTGAGTACCTACCTGTTTTATCAATGTATTATATGCCCCAAAAAAATTTGGCATATAATGTAATGCACATGGTCATCTGTCCGTGCGTCATTTATCAGTTTTCGTGTCAGGTCTGTTCAGAAGGAAATTGAAACTACTTGACAGAAATGTTAACTTTAATAAGATGATGCTGTGGAAAGCACATGTTTGACCTTTCTCAGGTCAAGGTCACATTCATTTTGCATCAAGTTCAGAATTGTGTCAGCTCTGTATCATTTGAACCAATTGAAAAAAAAATTAAAACTTTTTTGCAGAAATATTACTTATAATTAGACAATGTGCAGAACACTGGTACGGGGTTCTTGAGATCAAAAGTGTCTCCACCTTGTGGGTTACTTGATTTATATAGACTTAAACAAAGGGGGTTATAGAGCCAGTATATAATGGTCATCATATACAAATACCATGAAATGCAGTTCGCAAAACGTAAAGATTTCATTAAAATAAGCATGATTTTGATAAATAATGCTAGCTTGGTACGACCACCGTCTGCAAAGCATTGAGTGTAAAGAAGGGGAGCGGTGGCCAAGTGGTTAAAGTATCTGCCTTTCAACCCATGGATTATGGGTTGAAGCCCTAATCAGGTCACGGCCATGTTCCTTCATTATACTACAGTACTGGTTGGTTCCAGGAAGCGGACTCGAAAGTGATTAATTTTAGTTTAAAGAACTTGTTTTGCAGTCTGCCTTAAAAATTATGCTTAAACCGAGTGTAATGAATATAAGCTCATAGAAATGATAATTATATGAGTTAAATTTCGTTCAATGTGATATTGTCATATTAAAACACTAGAGTTTTTCTTTGTTTTTTTTTCAGGAATTTACCGCGTGCTATCTACATATCAATTCCAATTGTAACGTTTGTATATGTGTTTTCAAATGTGGCTTATTTCACACTGGTTTCACCTAGAGAGATGATGGAGTCTAATGCAGTAGCTGTTGTAAGTTATACAATAAACATTATCGTATCATATTGATTTATTCAGGGAAATATAGAAAAAAAAGTTCTGTGAATTTTGTTATATTTTTATTGAAATCATATTCTTGAAGATTTTATGTGATGAATTTTGTATACGTCCAGTATTGAAATTTACCATTAATGGTTTCATTGATTTTCTAAATACCAAATTTGGAACAGAAAATGTGTACTTTGAGTGTAGTATGACTGCCTGAAGTACAAATGTTAATTTAACCTTAGCCTGCTGGCAGCGACTGAAGCTACCCATGCCACCAGTGCTGACCAAGATCAGCAGGAAATCCTTGCCATCTGATCATGGTCTGCACTGTTTGCTATTCAGTCAGCACCTTTTATACAAATTTTACCCAAAAAACGATCGGAAAGATGGACGATTCCATTTAAGATTTTAGTGGAGTTAGGTTCAAATTAGACTACTTAGTGTACTTATTTAAAGTGGCTTAAATTGAATAGATTTGCTTTTTTTATGGCTATGTAAGCATCATATTTGTTAAGGTTTTTTGTAACAGTGAAAGAGGGTGAAAGTGTAAATGACTAGATGTTATTATCTCCTTATGTGTTCTGATTTTTTTTCCCTTTGTTTAGAAATAACTTGGTAAGACATAGGGATGTTAGTGACATTGTTTTGTAAATGAATCGTTGAGTCAGATTAAATATAAACTTTTTTATTTTCACAGACATTTGCGGAGAAAGTATACGGTGTAATGGCATGGATCATACCAGTGTTTGTATCACTCTCCACATTTGGAGGTGTAAATGGTCTACTCTTTACCTCAGGGAGGTAAGTTTGAAGAGTTTTTATTTGAAACACAACTTTACTCGCATCCAGTCAATTTTGTTTCATTATGAACCTTTCCTGTTTTTGGCATTGAAAAATTTAGCCCCGCCTTCACTCTGGTTGTTTGAGAGATTGCTTTAAAGGGTTGAGGCATCAGAATTGCAGCCACTGTTTTTCCCGGCAAGATCGTTAGAGGCGACTAAATGGGTTCAAATTACTGAAGTCTATGAATCTCTTAGCTCAAGTTGGTGAGCAGGTTTTGACTCTTGGTGTTGCATTAAGTTTGAAACAGAAGGTTGGCCAAGATAATCTTTCATGTTTTGGTGCAATATGACCTAAATTGTGTTGGTGGGTTGTTAAACCAAACAAACAAAAAAGAATTACATAATGGTTATATTGCATGGGAAATAAACAGTAATTTCAACTTTAAATATTCCCATTAAATACATTATAGAATAGTCACATATAAAAATGAATGTCTGTGCTGTAAATATAAAAAAGACAAGTGTCATGTTTATTTATTAAATCTTATTTCAGATTATTTTTTGTGGGAGCACGAGAAGGTCATTTACCACAACTGATGTCTATGATCAATGTTAAACGTTACACACCTATGCCAGCCATGCTCTTCACTGTAAGACAACATTTAATTCATTTTTACTATCTTAAATATATAAAAACCTTCAATAAATGAGCTGCTTATGAACCTTCAATAAGTGAGCTGCTTATGACAATACCAATATAATGTGTTTGCGACCAGCATGGATCCTCACCAGCCTGTGCAGGAGAACTGACTGCTAATATAGTTTATTGTTTTTATGTTGATCTCAACTTTTATCATTGTATGTTATGTGATCTCATGTTGATCTCACAATTATTGATTTCTGGAAAGCTTATGAAATTTTAATGTTGATCTCAGTATGCGTTTCTGCTACTTGTCATAGATCTTGTCATGTTGATCTCATTATGATCTCATTACAAATAATGGAAGATACTTCTATCTCATATTTTGATTAAATATTGATCTCCTTTCATTTTTCAGGGAGGTTTATCAATAATTATGTTGATCACATTATAAATAATTGTAGATACTTGTATCTCATATTTGATTAAATTATGATCTCACTGTGTTTTTCAGGGAGGCTAATCAATTATTTTGTTCTCAATACAAATAATAGTAAATACTTGTATCTCATATTTGATTAAATATGTATTATCTCATCATGTTTTTCAGGGAGGCTAATCAATTATTATGTTAAACTCATTACAAATAATAGTACATACTTGTATCTCATATTTTGATTTAATATTGATCTTGTCATGTTTTTCAGGGAGGTTTATCAATTATTATGTTGATCTCAGATGACATGTATGCTCTCATCAACTATATGAGTTTTGTACAGTGGTTGTCTGTGGGTATGTCGGTCACAGGTTTGCTGTATCTTCGCTACAAACACCCAGAATGGGACAGACCTATTAAGGTAATAATGTAATCTCAGTATCTCAAGCTGCATGGGTTTAAAACCCATAGGAGCAAGAAACTTCGCACTTATTTTGCTTAGTACTGGTTGGTTCCATAAATGAATTTGGGAGTGTGTCTATAAGCTATTAGATACCTATGCAGTTGAACTTCAATAAATTCTGTATAAACTGAGGTTATTATATATATAGTATACATGACATACTACATGTATGTGATATGTATGTGTATTATATACTTGTTGGTGATATCATAAACATGAGTTAATATAGCTGTCAATATACTTACATATTTGTATATGTTTCAGTGAAAATAAAATAGACAAGAACATATTATCCACACCTACTTTTGTGTGTAAGAGTTACGGCCCTTTTCATGAACACATGATGCATGATTGATGAATTTGTTCGGCTTATAAATAACATATCTTATTTCTTTTCTTTACAGTTTAATATTGCCATACCAATTACTTTCCTCATTGCCGTGCTATTCTTGTTAATTGTGCCACTTTTTGCTGCGCCCAAAGATACGGGTATGGGTCTGTTGTTGGTACTGACTGGCGTACCTGTCTACATTTTAGGAGTACGCTGGAAAAATAAGCCCCAGGCTTTTACTAATTTTGTCAGTAAGTATCTGGGTACATGAATTATATGGAATTATACTTTTATTGAAACATTGGTCTTAAGAAAGATGTGTCAATATTTATATCAGATACGAAAATCTTTTTAATCCACTGGGAATCTAGTATGCACGGAACAAATGTAGTAAGCAAGGAACAAAGCTAATGGATTAATGAGAGAAATATATATAGAAATATAAATTAGGTCTTTTTGAATTCAAATAGAAATCTTTTTTAAGGAGCTAAAATAAAAAAGTTGTACCTTAAAAGTTGTTTTATTACGTCTTAATAGACTCAAATGAAACAAGGCTCTGAAAGAGAAAGCAAGCCTCTAAGAAAGCTTTTCTCAGAAATAAAAAGAGAAGTTGACAAAATAGTGTCAATATATATACCTTATTTTGAAATATGTTATATCGTAATTTTGTAAAGGCCGAGCCTGTATTTAGAATAGTTTTGTTATTGTATTTTTGTTCCTACTTTTTATTACAGGATCTTTAACTTACACTAGCCAGAAGATATGTCATGTGGTGTCAGAGGAAGCATCATGATCAGACTGTGTCGCAGTGTTTATACAAACTTTTACAAGTCCGGAATAGAAGAATGGTGAACCGTTTCATTGTGAAGCCTTGACCTCTAGCCTCGCTTGTTGTTTTACAATGAATGTTTTGGTTAATGTAAATATATACATATAAACAGTGCCTAGATAGAACGGGTGCCAAGTATGCTGGGTAGAAAGATTTTAGTGAAGGGATTAAGATGACTACAGATGTCAGAAAGAACCATAAAGGTGAAGAATGCCCATATTACAGCGCTAGTTAACTGTTGTAGATGTAGTGAACCTCATATGCTTTAAGTGCAAACTGTTGTACATGGTGAACTTCATATGCTGCAACTGCATACTAACTGTTATACAGGGTGAACTATTGAACATGACAGCGCAATTATACTGTTATACAGGGTGATCCAGATGTTTGTACAATGTAAGTTACATGTTAGACATGGTGAAACATGAAAGAGCAAAAAGCTGCCATTATTTTTACTACATTTATTGATGTAGATTTTAAAACTAATTGATATGTAAAAAAACTTGCCTATCATTGATTTCATAGCACCTTAAAAGGCCAGTTTCAACACTAGAATGTCCTTTACATTGTAGGAACAAAATTTAAGTTTTATATAGTAGATTTTTTTGGTTGTATTTTTTTCGAGCATTTAGAACAAAATCAGGGAGTATTGGCATTCAGTATTGTTTATATATTGATATCCATATAAAAACACCTGTACACTAGAACCCTTCCAGGGACTTTGGATTCTTTCATGTGAGGAAGCTATCCAGCTAGTTTATGGAACACGGATGGTTCTACTCTGGTGCCAGTTTGTGCCTGAAATAATGCATGGCAAGGCACCTGAGGTCTTCCTCCACCAGTAAAGCTGGAACATCGCCATATAACCCATACTGTGTCGGTGTGATGTAAAACTCCATCAATCACACTAAAACCCGAGTTAGAAATCATCTCTAAGACCATTTCTCTTAATATAGATAAATTTTTATCCTTGAAATTTGCAAGGTGACTTGACCAAGTATCAATTGTCACATTATTCACGTACCAAAGACACTGACATGCATAATTCAGTTACAAAATACAGAATCTCTAGTCGCAATGACCACCTACCTTCGTTAATATTTTTTTTTCTATAAATAGGAACACCGTAGAACAGGCTGTTCTAGGGTGTTCCTATTTTCTACAGGGCTTCGATAATCTGGAATTCTTTAACAGATTTTCATCTTTCTCGACCAATTGATAAAAACAAGTGTGAACATTAATTGAAATCAAAACCATTATTTTTTTGTTGTGAATGGAATATTTGATTCGCGTGTTAACTGCATTTATACTCGCTAAACTTATCGTGTATACAATTAATAGAATACACGATGTCCTTCCTAACCAAAGGCAGCTTTCGTTGTTGTAGTGTTAACGTAATGTGTCGTTATAAATGTGACATATTCAGAAATGCCTTCATTTTTTACTTACAACGTTTTTACTTGAAATTGTTGAAATTATATTTATGCATTTGTTATAGGTTTAAGATATTAATTTTTAATAGACCTCTTTACTTATTAGAATGAAATTTTCAGTTTTAACTTTTACAATGTATTTATTTATTTATTTCTAGATCTAATTGTTCTGCTTTTTTTGAGGATCAACTGTTATATGAATGATTGAAAACACAACTTAAAAATCTCTGGGTATCTAACATACACCTTTACATTTATTTTAAATTATCTTTATTTATGAAACTATGGTTCCCAGGTACTTGTCTACAACATCGTCAGTTTATTTAGCTGGGTACCAACGTCTTTGCTGCAGTATTGCATATTCTGATGGGTGGGGCTCCTTGAGTAACATGAACTTAAAAATGTTTCTTTAGCAAGAACCTTTAAAAATGCTTTTTAAAAAGTCTAAAAACCATAAATGTTTGAAATGCTCTAAATGCCATGAATCAAATGAAAATTTATTTTTAAGGTGACACACTGTTATTTAATTATTGATGACTAAAATTACTAGTAATTTTGTTTACTTTTTGCCATGATGTTTATATGAAGCCTCAGAATCAAATTTGGAAATTTGGGCATTTTTATACAATGTTTCATAAATATTTTCATAAATCTTTTTTGATTGGGGGCATTATATTTGCTGGTTGGTTCTTGCCCCAATATGTCCCCATGTGTGACATACCAATAAAAATTTTGTATAAAACTTCATTTATTGACTGATATGTTAGTAAATTTAAAGTGTAGGTACCTTTCAAAGACAGTTACTACTCTAGTAGTGTTTTTAAGGTTGATTGGATCAAAAGTCAAGGTCACTGTTGCTATAAATAGATTTTCCAACTATTTATTGTAAAGTCATGTTTGTTGTTTTGTTAAAGCAACATCTGGGAGCTTTCTTCGGAGTTACAAATATTCTTGTTTGTTGTACAAGTTATGTTGTAAAAAAATGAAAATATCAGGTATGCTCATTGCATTTATGTCATGTCATACCAATGACTTTTATAACTGTTTATATTCATTGTTTTATGTTATGCCAATGGTAATATCCATTGTTTCATATTATACCATTGTTTTCACGTTATACCAATGTTTATATCCATTGCTTTCATGTTATACCTTTTCTTATCTTCCTGTTATACCATTGTTTCACGTTATACCATTGTTTGTATATAACTTGTTTACATGGAAACAATCACATCACAGACAACCTGATTTATGAATAGTGCGTCTTTCAATTTAAAACCATTTATATCTTACGTAAGTTGTGTACATAATACAAACAAAAATGTGCTGATATATAATTTATTATATGTATATGTAATATACTACATGCATTGGTGTTAGTGTTGCATGTATTTTCAGTTTGACTATTCAAAGAAGATGGAGAGCTATTGTACACACCTAGGCGTTGTTGTCGCCATCACACTTTGGTTAAATTTTTGCATGCAAGTTGATTTCCCCAAAACTTCTGAAGGAAATGGGTTGGAACTTCTGATAATCACACATTTATTTGAAGGCATAACAGTATGTCACTATCCAAGGTCCATAACTCTTAACAGGGATTTAGACAGAATTATGACCCTTTTTTGAACTAAGAAAATTGAATTATACATTATCCAGGCTCTTGTTTTACTATCAAACACTGAGAATAGTTGAGCACACTGTCCTACTGACAGCTCTTGTCTATATAGAAAAATGCATTGTATTGTTAATGTTTTTGATGTGTAACATGCATTTATCTACATGAATTATCAGGTATAAGTTTGCAAAATATTGAGATATTTCATAGAAATTGTTGTGTAACACATATTTTCTACATAAATAATAACATGGTATAAAATTTGGGGTACAATATACATTTTACGTTGTGTAACACTCCTTTTATGCACAAATTATTGCAATACGCTGAAAAATTTAATTTAGGTATTACATATAGTTTTGTAGTGCTACACTAATTTCCTACATAAATTTTTATAGTATAAAATTTGGGGTACAATATGCATTTTTGCGTTGTGTAACACTCATTTAGTACACAAATTATTGCATTATGTGTACATTTTTGTGTATTCCATACAGTTAAGTTGTGTAATATGCATTTTCTATACTGATAATCATTACATTTCATTATCAAAGTGAGGCATTATTGAGGAAAAAAGTTTTCCCCAAATTTGATAATTGTAACTCAATTTATATGAAAATGATTAGCTATTCTACGTAGTTTAAACTGTCAAGACACAATAATATTTGAAATATTGCTGGGAGTATGAAATAAATAGCAAATGCTCTTTCCTATATTAAATGTTTTGTTGAAATAGGTTTTCATAAACAATGCTGATATATTTAATATCTTTATTTTGTTTGACTTACTTTCCATAAAAGCATAATGTTACATTTAAGTGTCAAATAAATATTGTAAATAACCAATATTTATGTAAAAAATACATTTATCATTATTACTACATGTAAAATCAAACAGGCCATCCATTGGTTGAATATAAATTTGATTTTTTTATCTCCAAACTTAGTCCTCCTTTTGCTGTTATATAGTAATAAATTTAAATGTATGTTTTACTATTTTTAAAACCATACTTTTGTAATTAAAGGAGCCTTAATTTTGATATGGCAAGATAAAATAACATGCAAGTCAAAATTGTCCTGAGACCAGTATCCCAATGTCAGCTTCTTGGAATAGTTGTTATGAATTGAATATTTGGTTAATTTCATTTAGTTATACAAATTATCCGAATATAAGCTTTAATCCATTTAACTGAATATTAGGCTTATTCCATTTCATCTAAATATAAGGTTTATTCCATTCCAGTCCCCTCCCCCTGTTATACCCCCACCTTTTTGGGGAAATAAAATTGTCTCCAGTATACTATTTGAGTCAGTAATTATGGTGCACAATTTCCCTCACATTATGTATTTAGTATCATATATTGTGTTTAGTATCATATATTTTTATTGCACCTTGTATTTATAACATCACCATTATTTTATTTCATTACTTTATCATATCACCTCTTTATCTATGTTTTCTTTTTGTAATTTTATGACTTGTCTTGTTTGAATAACAATTGAGATGTATGTGGTGGGAGTTGGTATATTGTATGTTTTTGTAACTTATGTGGGTTCATTGCAAAATTTGTTAAAAAAATGTTTCAACTTTTACCCTTGTACATTATAATGGGATTGCCCTGCTTTTGAATTTGGAGCCTTCCATTACTGATTAAAGGGGTTTTCAGTTTGAAAATGGTAATATTTATGCAACCAATAGTTTCAGCGTTTCATCTGGCTGAATAGGAGTGCTAGCTTGTTATGTCTGTATAATGTATAGAAGAAGGTAAGGCAGATTTTAAAGCAGCATGCCTCCTGATTCTTGCAAATTCTCATGAAAATTTTGAAAATGTATTTATAACTAAAATATTGTGAAGTGAACAAAAGGTAATTAAGATCTTGCAAAAGACACTTGTTTTCAAAAAAGGTCCAATATAAACCAAAACATCCCTTACTGGATGGCTGAGGAATATGGTGATAAGTCATTAATCGCTTTACTTTTTCTTAAAATCTCAGTAAATTTTCCTCAAGTTTGATTTTTTTGAAATATTTTGGCTCAACTTGAGGCATGGAAAATGTTTGAATCCAGAGTAAGAGCAGCAAAACTGTTTTGTATTGAACCTGCTATGTGTATAATAATTGTATGTATAATATGTAATATTTTAAGCTTTGTTTGACATTGCTACAATTTCGGGTTCAGGGTTTTACTTTAGAATCTCTTAGGTTTTGTTTTTAGTTACTTACAAATTAGATTTATTTCTGTGTTCATTTGTTTTTGTTATTTTGATGTTTATTTCTGAAAAAATGTATGTTTGAATGAAATTCAACTTTACATTAATCAGTTGATGAATGAAAATTTGATTTGATGTGAAAGATTTGTTTTTTAAAAGCTGTAAAATAATTAGATTGTGAACCAGTCAGACTTTCTAGCAATCTGATTGGTTAATTTGTTTTGAAAATGTAATTTTGAAACCAGTCAAAAATTCTAGCATATGATTGGTTAATATGGTTTTGAAATTGACCAATTGGATCTCTTTTGACTGGTTTCCAATTTTTATTTGTTAACAATCAATTTACTTTTTGAGAATCTCAAAAACCAAGACAAAATCATTGAACAATATTTATAGATTTTTATTACTTCTCATGTTAAATGTAAAACTTATATAAATGTCCACTTTATACCAGTGACTATTTTATTTATTTATAATAGTTTTATGAAATTATATGTTTCTATTTTTAGCCATTTTGACCATAGGTCTTGAATGACTATAAGATTATCAGATATATATAGAATTGATATTATACATGTACACTTGAATATCCTTTTAATAATAAATCTCATTTATCCCCAGTTTATGTATTATTTTTTTAGGCTTTGTATGCTGAACATTACTTTTATGAGGAAGAAACACTATTTTATGATGGACACTTCTTTATTGTTTGGTTTTACATTAAAACAATTCAAGTATTATTTGCATTTATATTTGTATTCATATGGTGACTAGAAAACGATGAGAAAAAAAGAAAAAAACAGAAATTCAGAGTTACTCATTATTAAACTTTTACTCATATTTTCATTATTTTATTCAAATTTTTAATGACAAAGGGGGGTTTTAATGTTCTTTTTGTTATTTATATACATGTAGAATTTTCTCCTCATTTTGTTGGTGATTTGTTTTATCATCTGAAGATTCTATATTTAGGTTTATGACGTCATGATCTATTTATATCTGTTTATGTTGTCAACTATAAAATAGAATGTAGATTTTGTTGTTTATTTGCTGTGGTGTAAAATAAATTGCTTATAAAGAAAATAAATGACATTGAAATGAAATTTTGCTGTTTGTTTTCTTATAAAAGTATATAAAAGTAATTTATGAGCTGCTAGTGCTACATTTGTAAGAAAACCTTCAAGCAGAGGTTTCAGAATCTGGACTGAAAATAAGTCCTTTTGCTTAATATTCTTCTGCAAAAGTTTTCAGTTGAGCAATCCAGGGCCATAATGACTCCCTTGTAACAAAGAATTAAGAAGTTGCATTTGCTCTACCAGTGCCGGCATTGAATACAAATGAGACTGAATAAGGTATTAACTTTTCGTTGATAACATTAGGGTAATGAAAACTGAGGTGTCTTTTATCGTAATCTAGGTGTCATTTATCGAAAAGCCGATTACAATGCAAAACCAGAGTTCGAACTGCCTCTTAAGTTTAAAAGATGTCGTAAAACTTGTATGTTTTAAGTTGTCTTTGCGCCTTGTCAATGGCACTTTGACGTTAACTTACAGTTGTTTTTGCCACTGAATATTAGACAACGAAAGACAGACGGTCAAGAGATTGGACAGCAAGCTGCCCTCAAACCCATTTAGTAAGAAACACAAGGACTGTAATTATTTGTCAAGCATACATGTACCACTCGCATCGGCTCAAAAATCTGAAATTTGTCCTAACGCTTTCGCCATACATGAACTGTATTGGGCTACTGTAAATAAAAGATAACTACTGTAATATAAAAATCAAAGCACAGAAGGCGCTGAATTTGTTTTGGTCTCAGAATGTCAGAAAGGTGAAGGTTGTGAGATTATAAAACAATTTGTTTTTGTATAGTGCCACCAATGCTTTCCAGCGTTTTAATTGTAGTAGATTGGCTATAAGACTAATTGCAACACTGATATTCGATCCAATGTTTATTTGACTTAAACAATTTGAAAAAAAAATGAGGTGCCTTAACTGGGTTTTGAACTCCAGACCTCTCGCTTCCTAAGCGAGCGCGCATACGCCTCGGCCACGGTTAAATTTACTTTTAGCGGCCTGAAGAAAACCATATTATTCTTGTTAGGGTTTGTAACGACGCTAACTGTTGTTTAACACTTGTGTAAATAATCATGGCGCTTACTATAAGCATGTATATCTGAAGAATAAAACAATATTTGAAATCTTCGACTATTCGGGAATTGTTTTGCTTGAAAATTAATCCGCCTGTCATGTGACCGTATTTATGCAGTGATCTCCCCTAAATTTTTCGGCCTAAGTGTAACATATAAAGGGAAGTAACCGCTTCAAAAAAGCGGACTACTTTCGGCACTTGCAATTAACAGCATTAGAGTCTGAAATTTCACTAAACCATTATTTGTTTGGTCTGACGACCCAAACAAATAACTATCCGTGATCATTTTTTTTAATTACAAAACAATTGTAGAACAGTAAAAGGCTGGACAGCACGGTGAGGACGCCGACAAAGTTTTCACTCTTTCGGTATAAACATTTTATTTTTTGTAAATAGAAAATGTGTTCCATGGATGACACTGTCACGATGCGCCAATCTGTTTTGCATAGATATAATTTGATTTTACAAAAAAAGATCAAATACCGACAAAACTTGAATTAGAAAAAGTAATAAAGAGAGACAGAAATAGCGAAATAAAGAATGGATAAGCATTGCTAATATGTACCATTTATTGTATTTCGTATACAACAGACTTTATGTACATCTTTTTTTACTTTTATTGAGGCCAACTCTCAAATGTTGTTATAAAAGTTGTGGTACGACCCCTTTGCTTTTTATGAACATCTACAGCATCCATGTATAAATACCGTATTTATTCGATAATGTTTGCATGTGACACTGTATCTGTTTCGTATAGAAAGAAAAATGGCAATAAAATATGATTAAACTAAACTAATCAGATGATTTACAACCTGATAAATAAGACGCAACCCTACTCCTTGAGATTTATATCTTATCAAACAAGATCTCAATTTACCTATACAATTGTGCAATCCAAATACTGCACTTCTTGTAAAAACCAACAACAACCAGATAACTTACCTGTTATGTATGAAGATGAATGGAATAATTAGCAGACGAACTACTTAACGAAGCACAGGAAACGCAAACTATATGAAATATGAAGTTGTTCAGACCTGTGTTCGAGGTAAAAAATATTCTCGCCTCAAACTCAAGTCACAAGAATTTGATTGGTCAGTAATCGACACAGAATGTTGACTGACCAATGAAAATCCTGATATTCGAGACAGGTCTCGGAGCCCACATATCTAATTCTATCCCCGGTATTTTCCGGACAGGAACCGTAGGCAAAGGCATTATTTCAGAAAATATGATGAATGCTGAAATTATATTAGTGTTAGTTTTATAAGGATGTGATCAGATATAAAAATACTATACGGTTGACAATGGATTCTCATGTGTTCAAATAAAAATACATGTGCTACGAATTATTTAGTTTGTTCCAATTCCATTCCATGACAAACAACTACATGGTTCCTGTCCGAGATGTTTCAAGGGACAGACAATTGAGTTTTTTAACTTTTTTTACATGAAATGACCGGAAATATTTTTTTTTAATGTTTTTGTATAACTGGATGTAGGTCTTGACCAAAGAATCGTGTACAAAATTTAAGGTCATTCGCTTACTCAATCAATTGCATTATACAAATTGACCCCAAAATGAAAAGCGTTGCGTTTCCAAAATATCTCATAAAAATCGATTTTTGATTTACTACCTGCATATATCATCTATTGCATAGTTTTTCATTTTAAGTACAAAATTTTATGTATACCAGTTCAGTTATGAAAGAATTTCAAATTTTATGATTATAGGCTATTGGACCTCAGTGGAAAGAATATCAAATCTATTGGACCTCAGTGGAAAGAATTTCAAATCTTTTGGACCTCAGTGGAAATAATTTCAAATTTTATGAATTAAGGCTATTGGACCTAATTGAAGTTCCTTTAAGGTACCCGAGACGTAAACTATGTTTTTAAACATGAGAAACGCTAAAAGCCGCTATCTGTACGTAAATGTTTTAATTTATTTGTTCACTTATTTATACTTGGCCTGAAACTGGTGAAACTGATTATAAGATAGCATCAAGAATAATTAAAACACTGAGTAGTTCTCTCTGTTTCGCTGATGAGCCTTATCTCGATTCGCTTGGCACGAGAAACTCTGTACAGGTATATAAACAAATACGAGGGTCGTTCAAAATGTTTATTCTAGAAGTTAAGCTTACCGATCGGCATGTGCAAAGGTGCTAGTAGTCTTGATTTTACCTTAACCATGTTTAATCTTGTTAGTCATGCAATATAACATCAATATATTAAAGGCACATTGTGCCTTAAAAACAATTTCTTTTCTTATTTAGAAATGACAAACCTGGGATGTACTATAATGTATCGTATGTTCCAGGACAAACCTATGATTTTTTTTTATAATGTTGAATTATAGTTTTAGAGCATGTTAGATTCTTATCACCTTAAAAAGCTTTTGAAAAATCAACAGAAAAGCAATGCTTAGGCATAATGGGCCTGTAAAGAAAAGTAGATAATCCAGTGATGGAGAGCATAACATGTTATTTATTTTCTTATTTTTTCTCGTCAAGTTATCGCGAGACTCAGCGTCTTCTTTTCCCGCCATTTTTTACACTGTTTATAATTTGTGCCCGGTTTAAGTCGCACATACTAAGTAATATTTTAATTTTCCAGATTTGAACCTCATCATACTTTTCCGTCTTCTTCAGTACTTAGCATGTACATCTCATGGGTTTTATTTTGTTAAGCACCACCCAAAGGCTAGCTCTATTTAGCGAATAGTTACTCATTTTCATACAAAAAGGTGACAAAGTTAAGACACTAGCAAATATTAATACATTTCATATAATATTCAAATTAAAACATTTCTAAATTCATATAATAATGAACATCAGTTAAAAAAAACACAACAACAACAAAACGAAAACCACAACAACAACAAAAAAACAACAACAACATGCTAACACTTGAGTGAAATGGAGAACGAATTCTACCTAAGCCTATAATTAGCGAACTTTTGTAACAACCCTCTTTCTGTAAACTCTGAGAGTAACACATGTTTCATGTAGACTTATGAAAATATAACGGAGAAAACCCCCATTTCACTATCTGTTATTTTTCATAAGAAATTTCATCAAGGAATTTGTTGAGAAGGATTTGAAAGTGCTTATATTTAGTATTTGATTTTTCTAAACTGGAGAAGTGAAGAACGTGAAGAAATTGATAAAAAATGAGATGAAGAGAACTGGATGTTAGAACTCCACAAAAGAAATGGTGAGTCACGGATACTTTTATTGTGTACTGAACAGGACAAAATTGATGAATAATCTTGAAATAACAATTTTATTCATCTTCTATTACAGATATACTAAGCCCATCTTTGGGTAAAATAATTTTATTGCAGATCGAAGTTTATTGTAATTTATGAAATTCTTACTGGATATGACTAATTTGAATCAGACAAAAATGTAAAAACTATTTACGTGAAGCTGCATTCCCTATAACAGGTCAAGTAAAGTTTGTCCTTTCTAAAACAACAACAACAACAGCAGCAGCAACAACAACAACAACAACAAAACTGCTAGTATTCATATTGTGGTATCCCATAGTGTGTAAGGTGTTTAATACTCTGTGTTGAAACATGTTGACTTTGTCTTTATATACAAAGAGACAATGTACCGATTTTCAATATTTTAAAATATTATAATTGTTCATATATCTTTAAAACATACTCTTTTAAATTAAAAAAGAGACAATCAAGATAAATAATCACAGAGGTCACTGAGTGCTCTATTCAGAAGACGGATGTTTATTTGCAGAAGTAATTCGGGGAAATTGTAATTTTGAGGGATCGGCAATTGTATGAAAGACCACATCTGTAATAATTTATAAATGTGTTACATCAACGAGAAACGAAAATATCATTAATTCTTGTATAAATCAAAAACAAATGGGATTGCAGACAGAGTCCATGCGTTAGAGAAATATATAAAATATCATAATTAATTAACAAATACAAATTTATAGGAATTTACATGAATATTTACCTTACATTGGCCAGAGTCTCCTATTTGATGGACTAATACAAAACGACTCCGTAAGCGTGATGTTACATTAGATACTTGTAATCATATCATATATCAATTATAGAGCTGAAAAAAATACAAAATCACCGTTTGACAGTTCATTTTTATATTATAAGGTGTGTAACATTAACACGTTTTTGTTGTTGTTATAAATAAGATGAAAATAAGCTACGCCGTGTACGATCAAAAAGGACTATCAAGTTCTGAACTTATCAAGAGAAAACGGCTAATATTATATCGATACATTATACACGACGAACAATTAGATCACTAACAATTGTACACGACGAAAAATCATATCACCTATTAATTTTACACGACAAATATAATCATTCCCCAAATGAGAGTACACGACGAAAACTCATATCAACAAATGACTGTACCCGACGAAAAATCATATCACCAAAATATGATTGTACACGCCAAAAATACATATCACCAAATGATTGTACACGACGAAATTTTATATCAACAAATTAACATGTGATTGTACACGACAAAAATAATCAAATCACCAAATGAGTGTACACGATGAAAACTCATATCAACAAATCAAGAAATGATTGTACACGATGAAATTCTATATAAAAAAATCAACATATGGTTGTACACGACGAAAAGTCATATCACCAACAAAATATGATTGTACACGACAAAAATAATCAAATCACTAAATGATTGTACACGACGTAAATTCATATCAACAAATGATTGTACACGTCGAAATTTTATATCAACAAATCAACAAATGTTTGTACACGACACAGACGAAAAATCATTTTGTCTTCAGATTTTATTAAATTTTTCACATGCACGTTTTCCATAGTTTTATGTTGGAAGAGTAACGCGAAACAAAAATTGTTTAAACACAAAAATGATAATTAATAATCCCCCCCCCTCCTCAAAAATTTCTAAAAGAATGGAATCAATTTTATTTAAGCACGGTATTCCTGGAAACAACCATAATATAAACTTGCATACGGGAAGAAAATCCTATACAGATGTAGTAAAAGATTTAGTGAAAATGAACACCAATAAAATGCAATAAATACATATTTTTTACCTTGTTGTTTCTCAGCCAAAAATGTTTTTGCACGTTTTTAGTGCTTTAAGTATTTATTTCAATTGTATATTTCATGTTTCATTTAGCCATTAAACCGGAATAAACATTTAGAGTAAAGGTAAAAGTTTTAGGCAGATTTCCAGAGCTGTAGGTATTTACGGCATGGTGCCAGCCTCCGTTATCATGACCTGTATTTAAAGCACCGAGAAGTATAATATACAAAGAACAATGCAGCGTTTGTGGTATTCGAGATTTTTAAGATATTAAGAGCAAGGTATTTTCAAACTTCACAACAAGATTTTGTTCTGAAGAATACACCACTGTATAAAAAGTTATGAAAATTATTTAAAGTCCCATTTATCAAATACGTTAAATATTTTCATCGGAAAATAATTAAAATCTTTTCACCCGCCTTTTGATGTCTAAAATGTGTTAAAAGATCTTTATAATTTTCTGATGAATCTTTTGAAAATAAGATGGTACTAAAGCTCTTTAAATTTCCTCCTTGCTGAAACCCAAAAGACGCAGACGATTACATGTATACACATTTCATGTATTTGCTAAGCTCTTATATCAAATATTTTCTCTTTTTTTGTGTAATGAGTGTTTGATTTGCATATTTCCAGACTTGTTTGCTGGTAATAACCAGGCCGATTAATACTAAAACTTGCTGTTTTTTCCAAAGCTTATTTATACTAAAGTGTTCTGTTACAATTTCCAAAGTCACTCATTGGCCAAACAGCAGATAAATAAATAAATAAATAAATAAATGAATGAATGAATGAATGAATGAATGTGATGAATGGGGGGGGATCCACACCCACTTTGTTTACATAATGACGTAATCATGTGTACACTTAAACAATAGAATGGGTGACACAAATGTTTTAATCCCGCCAAAAAAAAAAAAAAAAAATGGATGCCTTTATGAATAAAAAATGGCGCTGAATAACAATAGAAAGCTTAGCACACAAATTAAACCCGCCAAAAAAATAAAAATGGTTGCCTTATTAGATTTGAATAAAAAAATGGCGCACTGTTCTTCCATAAACAAAAGAAAACGAAAACATAATTGTAGGGGTCACATAAATATGGTCTAAAGTACACAATAGAAAAATGTTACCATAAACTAATTCGGTCAAAATATACAAAGGAAAACTATAATCAAATTATTGGTTTAAACTATTGAAAGAAAATTAGGACAAAATATTATTAATAAGTCTAGACCAGCTGTGGTCAACTCATCTAATAAGCTACTTTAGTATCTAGTATTTCTTCTTCTTGATATTGTATTTTACTATCATCAGAAAAATGTAAAGTTTAATCAATTGTTTACATAATGACTTAAGAGTGTGTACTTTATAACAATAGAACAGGTAACACTCCAAAAAGAGCAAATGAGCAACCAAAATGAGCATATGAGCAACTAAAATGAGCGACTGAGCAAGGAAAAATGAGTAAATGAGCAATCAAATGAGCAAATGAGCACCCAAAACGAGCAAATGAGAAACCAAATGTGCAAGTAAAATGAGCAATGAGGAACCAAATGAGTAAGTGAGCAAGTTAAATGAGCAAGTTAAATGAGCAAATGAGCAACCAAAAAGAGCAAATGAGCAAGTAAAATGAGCAACCAAAATGAGCAAATGAGCAATTAAATGAGCAAATGAGCAACCAAAAAGAGCAAATGAGCAAATGAAATGAGCAGATGAGCAACCAAATGAGAAAATGAGCAAGTGAAATGAGCAAATGAGCAACTAAATTAGCAAATTAGCAAACAAAATGAGCAAATGTGCAACCAAATGAGCACCCAAAATGAGCAAATGAGCAACCAAATGAGCAAATGAGCAACCAAAATGAGCAAATGAGCAACCAAAAGAGCAAATGAGCGACCAAATGAGCAAATGAGCAACCAAAATGAGCAAATGAGCAACAAATGAGCAACCAAAATGAGCAAATGAGCAAGCAAATGAGCAAATGAGCAAGTGAAATGAGCAAATGAGCAACCAAAATGAGCAAATGAGCAACCAAAATGAGCAAATGAGCAACCAAATGAGCAAATGAGCAAGTAAAATGAGCAAATGAGCAACCAAATGAGCAAATGAGCAAGTGAAATGAGCAAATGATCAAGTGAAATGAGCAAATGAGCAAGCAAATGAGCAAATGAGCAAGTGAAATGAGCAAATGAGCAACCAAAATGAGCAAAAGAGCAACCAAATGAGCAAATGAGCAAGCAAAATAAGCAAATGAGCAAATAAAATGAGCGACTGAGCAAGCAAAATGAGTTAATGAACACCCAATTGAGCCACTTAGCAAGCAAAACGAGAAAATGAGAAACGAAATAAATTAGTTGGGAGTATAAAAAGGAGAATTGGCATTAATTTTGCCATTTGATCGCTTAAAATAATGGTATTCACATGTCTTTTGTGTTATAAAAAATTCAATAAAAAGTACAATTTAAATAGGCATTCGCATCTCAAACATAAGAACAGTATGTCTGAAAATAATATCAGCGATGGAAATACATCAGATGAGGAACCAAATCGTAAACCTTATCTATATAGAAACATTTTCGATCGGTTGAGACCTAATAGATCCAAATCTCATCATTACGAAGAAGACGATAACAGTGAACAAGATTATGACGATGAATCTTCTACTATAGGGAATGACAATGGCAAACAATATGATGATGTTAACAAGAACAAACATATTGACATCTGGAAGTATTTTACAGAGCTCACATATGAACAAGGAGATGACGTTTTAAATGAAACAGCCAGTAAAATGCGTAATGAAGACCCTGATAGCTCTCTTGAAGAAATAAGAAATAAAGCTTTTGAAAAATTACGCTCCGTGTATCATAAAGCATTCAGAGAAGTTTATTTGGATTTTATTGGAAAAATGTATGCACTTCAGCGCAATCCTACACATAAAAAGATCATGGGAACTGTTAAAAGATTGAGAGAGGAAGATAATTTCGAAACTGATGAAGCTATACAGTATGCTGTTAAAAAAAGAAAATTTATGTTAGAACGTGTTATGGACAAGTACCCATTACCAGAACTTGAAGAAACATTTGATGATGATGATGATGATTATGATGATGATGATGATGATGACAGTGAAAAAGAAACTAGTAGTGATAAATACTGACATTTTATCAATAAATGAACAAATTATTAAAGACATGTGAAAGTTTATATTATTTATTCATATTTTGGAAAGACAAAAGGACAAATGTTAGTGTGGTACATTATGATTGGAACATTTTTTTTTATCATATGCCAAATGCGTTTTATTTTAAATATTTCTTTTTGTAAATGCAGTCTGTAATAAATAAATTAAACTGTATTATTAGATCTTTGTTTTATTTTGTTTATAAATTTATGTATATCCTTTTCTTAAATCGTCCAACTAATCCATGTTGCGCCTGGGTGTATATAGTTGAAATGCAAAAAAAAGTTATCTGGAGAGAGAAATCTAGTCATGGGTATGTGAAAACATGACATAAAAATCTATCACCAAATAGCTGTTTTTGCTCTGATGATATTTTTGAATATTAAGTAAAATCCATATTACCACTTCAAGCATGTCAGGAAAATAGTTATACTGTGGCAACTATAAGGAAGAACTCGTTTTTAATAGTGGACAAGAAGTGAGTAATTTAGGGACACACCTGTATACAAAGGGCTTACTTATTGACATGAAATAAAAACTTTTAATTATTGTTTCTTTCTGTTATCAAGTCATAAAAGGACCAATGTTTATCTTGGCGCTGACATCAATTTCACAGATGTTAAAAATCTGACGGTTCATTGCTATACAAATTCCAAGGTGATGACATTATCACTTCAGTGTTGAAATGTAAGATTTAATTGGTTTCTTCGTTCTGGCAATTAACAGCAGAAAATGTTTAATCTTTGCTAGATCAAAATATAAAAAATAAGAATGTGAATAAAAAAAAGTTTCAGTACAATGTATATAATTTTAGGTTGTAATTCCTATCCTCGCTTAAAAGTGGTAAATCAAATCATTTAAAATTTCTCCATTGAATAAATGAATGTTCATAACTGATCCGAAACATCGACACAGAAAGGCGTCCCTTTGTGGATTTATTACCTGGTTGAAATATATGTTACATCTGGGGTCATACTGGTCATACATACTTAAAGGATTGTTTGTTTTATCAGGTAACCACATTGTCTGGTTAAGAGTTTAAACCATAAATATGATAAAAGCAAGATTTACTAGCTGGTAAAGAAAGATTTATTTTCTTATTAAGGATTATTCATTGACAATTATTGTTTTGTTTTACTCTAATGAGTTCTAAAGATACATGTAGGTGTTGAAACCATTGACAAAACAGGCCTCATTATCTTATAAGAAAACAATAATTGGGTATGAATTCTAAATAAAAGGTAACTTGTTTTGTATGTATCCCACCTGACTATCAAGTTTTATCAAATTTACTGCTTTAGAAATACACAGTAAATTAATTAGATCAAGCATTGTATGAACCACAGAGAAAGTACTTGCCTTCAATGAGAGGTTGAATTGCTGGCCTTGGATGTGATGCATAGTAACTTTAATGAAGAGAATTATATACAAAACAAGTGGCATAGGTTTGTTTCTTGTCAACATGTGCAAAAATATGACATGTCAATTTTTGGAAAAATAACAAAACAGGCCTCATTATATTATAAGAAAACAATAAATGTAATTTTGCATTTACATGTATAAGATTGACTTTTTTGGAGTGTTACCTGTTCTATTGTTATAAAGTACACACTCTTAAGTCATTATGTAAACAATTGATTAAACTTTACATTTTTCTGATGATAGTAAAATACAATATCAAGAAGAAGAAATACTAGATACTAAAGTAGCTTATTAGATGAGTTGACCACAGCTGGTCTAGACTTATTAATAATATTTTGTCCTAATTTTCTTTTCATAGTTTAAACCAATAATTTGATTATAGTTTTCCTTTGTATATTTTGACCGAATTAGTTATGGTAACATTTTTCTATTGTGTACTTTAGACCATATTTATGTGACCCCTACAATTATGTTTCGTTTTCTTTTGTTATGGAAGAACAGTGCGCCATTTTTTATTCAAATCTAATAAGGCAACCATTTTTATTTTTTTTGGCGGGTTTAATTTGTGTGCTAAGCTTTCTATTGTTATTCAGCGCCATTTTTTATTCATAAAGGCATCCATTTTTTTTTTTTGGCGGGATTAAAACATTTGTGTCACCCATTCTATTGTTTAAGTGTACACATGATTACGTCATTATGTAAACAAAGTGGGTGTGGATCCCCCCCCATTCATCATGAATGAATGAATGAATGAATAAATAAATAAATAAATAAATAAATAAATAAATAAATAAATAAATAAATAAATAAATAAATAAATTAATTAATTTATTAATCTTAAAAATCGTTACTCTCGGATCAATTTAAAAAGGTATTTGTCTTATGATTAAAACACTGCAAAACACTATTCCTTACAGACGACCAATGTTGCTTCTTTGTTTATATTTCCTTACCTTGCTAAATATCTTAAAGTTAAACGGACATGTCCATCTTACATTCTGGTCAATAACCAATCATCATTTGAAATGATTTTGAAAATAAATATACTGACAAGATGACGAACAGTGCTGACCTCGCTCAATGCAGGTACCATAATACGATATTCATGATATAGTTAGGCCTAGGAGGCGATTTGGTGCATCAACCTCTTTATATGTTCTCCTTTCTATGAACTGATATTTTCTTGGTAAATAACGGAAGAAAAACAATAGACTTGTCGGTAATTTTTCTTGAATTGATAAGTTCTTGGGAAAGTACACAAAACAAACAGTAGCATGGTTAATCAGCATCTTGAATGTATATTCCGCGAGTACAAAACATCTGTATTCTGTGACAGTGTAACATCTGTTGCCGAGATAGTATCTTTATGTACATACAATGTAATATGTAATCATGAAATATGCACATCTTTTGCTTAGAGTTCATTCTGTTCAGTCTAATTAGTGTTGAAAGAGACTGTATTTTTACTTGCACATGTTCTAAAAATTTATTCATCTGCCTAAGGATTTAGTAATTATCACGACACAATCATGTATAATGTTTTTGCTTATATTCTTTTATTATTCCCGTATGGCAGCGGAAGTTCCATTTGCACGTTAACAAAGACAGAACGCAAATATGTACAAGAATTCGCCACTTTATTCTGCAAAAACAATTTCTACGGCTTTTTCACACAAAGACATTTTTCTAAACTGCTTTTTAACGACATCTTATTATTTTTTATATTATTGTTTTTAGTAACACACCCTTACTAAATACATATAAACACAAGTTATCATTACATCCCTTCTTTCTGTTACAGGACGCTTTCAAACTATTGCGCAAGAAGTTTTCACAACAAAGTAGTGAAGGGACGACAACTGAGTCAAAGATTCAAAAAGGACCCAAAGTAGCACCAAAACCAAAAATTGACAATGTGCCAAAACCGGCTGCAAGTAAAGGCGCCACTGGCACAGATACAAAGGGTAAACCGAAAGATAATCCAGTGCACAAGGATTTAGTAAATCTTAAACATCCTGTAGTGGAAAAGAAAAGAATTCACGTGACCGAAGAAAAGGCAACTTTGACACCAACACCGAAATCGGCATCTGATAGAAAATCCAGTCTTCCTGAGGAAAAATTACAAGGTAACAATTTAGAAAAAGAAATTTTGAAATATGACAATACATATACTTCAAAAACAACAACAACAACAACCAACACCACAACAACAACAACAGCACATCATTATGCCCTATATATTTTGTCTTCTTTCGCGGGTCATGTCTTGGTCTTTATATATCCATTAGATTATTATTCAGGATACATGTACATCTTTAATCCTTAATTTTCTGACACCGGAAGTGATCAGCCTTCGTAAATGCTTAATAAGTTGCACCTTTGCTACGTCTATTTTCATAAGATAATCGTGACATTTAAGTTATCTATAAACACGTCTGCTGCAAAAAATGATGAATTATCTGTTTCAATCAATTTAAGCAATTGTGCTTAAAATGAATTCGTTATAAAGCCTTTTGATATGGTCGTGTATGTAAGTTTGTTTGTTATTTTATAACCGTTTTCCTACCAGCTCTGGTTATAAAATGCTTACTACCATTTAGATTAGGCCATGAAACTTCAATAAATATCTACATTTTTGTACTGTACCTGTATATGAATTTATGTTCTGTCTTTTGTTTTGACTATGTCAAGTTGTTTTATATAAATACCTTACCGACATTACATATAAATAGAAAGCTTACATATAATCGGTATTCCATTGATATTACAAGACATAACACTACACATTATCACCACATCCTCGGTAAACTTATCATCGCAAGATTACTTGTATCACATATACAAGTGCATTGATTTAGAACAATCTTGTATGTTAGTTGTTACACTCCTTGAGAAATCATGGCTGGAGATTACGACAGAACAGGTTAGTTTGTTGTTGTTATTGTTATTATTATTGTTGTTGTTGTTGCTTTTTAAACACGTTTCTTTAAAGATGTAACATTTTCATTACGTACATACATTATTCATAAAGGTGTAACATTTTGATTTTTTCACGTAAATATCTATTAAATCTATAATTTTTTAATCATTCGCAGTAAAGTACTGTTTTGGTTCCATTTTGTTTACATATATTAAATATGTATGCTGTTATATCAAATCTATGAATTTTATGCATTGATTTTGTGATGTTTAACTTTCTTGTTTAATTTGCTTTCAGAAATATATGTATATCAAAACTATGAATTTTTGATTAAGTTTATTCATAGAATTATTATTTTTTGATTATTTTAACTTTTCTTTCATAGGTATCAAATCTATGAATTTCTATTCATATGATTATGACAGTTTTACTTTTATCATTTGCTCTTTTAGACATCAAATCTATGACTTTAGTGATTACATTTATTTTCAACCTTTAAATACGTTTAATATCTTACACGAACTCGTCATCTTTTAATCTGAACAAAACGATTATTATAGATAACATTTCAAAATTTCAAGATATGAACTGACTTAAAGGCGATCAGTGCAGACATTGATCAAGGCACGGGCATGCAGCCTGATCTTGACCTGCATGTGCACTGGTCACATGGGCTAAATCCACCCATTGTCACTAAAAGGCTAAGGGTTGACTTAGTTCTTTGGTCTTTTTTGGTCGGATTTATCAACACAGAAAAGGTCATATGGCGACTTTACATCTTTGCTGGTGTATGACGAACGTAGGTGCCCTTCTTGCTTTATGCTATCACGAACAGGTACCTTAGTAGAACCACAGACGTTCTGAAGCTAGCAGGATAACTTCCTCAACTTAAAGAGTCGAAAGATCCTCTGGGATTCGAACATACAGCGGGGAAGAGTAAGTGGTCTGAAGTCAACAAATTTAACAATCTGGCCACAAAACCCATAGTCCTATGTGATTCTTTAACAAAATGAGATTTTAACAATTAAAATACTCAATAACGTGCATAAAGGCCCATTATGCCCCACGAATGTTTTTATTTCTATTTCAAAAACGCTTTACTTTTCAAGTTTCCAAAAAGATATGCATTGGCAAATGCAAATTACCTGACCTTTCTTTTTCTTCTGTTGCTTTTTGGCAGTAAACTAGTTACAGTGATTTAGTGTTTTGTATGGAAGTCAAAATACTACTATGCTTTCATTTTTTTACTTTTATGATTAACAGCTATTTTCTTCAGGTAACAAGCAACTTACATGCTCTAAAACCATTATCTAAATGTTTTAAAATCATGTTTGAATTTTCTTAAGAAGTAACAATTTGTTCGTTATGTGCCTTTAATGTATATAACATATATTGATAGTTGCTGTTGTTGTTGTTGTTGTTATTTTGTAATGTTTTTTATTGTTGTTTGTAACAAATTCTTATTAATATGTGAGTTAACACTCACAGTTTTTGACAAATTACTCGAAATTTCTATCTTGAAATAATTTAAGAAAAAATAGGTCAAATTCACATTATCTTCTTATAAAAACATTTTAAAATCAAACGGTATCTTAAACCTATCATATCTTCTGTCAAACCGAGATAATCCGGAGTTTTAAGAAGATAATTTTTCAGATATGTTTTATATAATTTATATTGGGTTGATTTACGTAAGACAACTCATCACAGACTAGTCCAAAATCTTTACTCTATTTATCTCCCCTGATATTCAGCTTTATACAGTTGAAGTCGAAATTAGCCGAAGATTTGACACTGAATACTATCCAAAAATACCTGATTTGATCCATGCTCATCCAGGTAGATGGGGGCGTCCGTAGCCGAGGGGTTTCAAACCACTTGCCCCTTACCGCTGTGGGTTTGAATCCGATAGGGACTTTGAATTCTTTCGTGAAAGGAGTCTACGGAACCATCTTACTGAACCCCAGCTGAAATAATGTAAGGAGATTTTTCCTGCGTCAGTAACGCCATTTGATTACAACAGTGTTGATGTTGCTTAAAACAGAAAAAGCACCCCCACCAAAAACAAACAAACAAACAAACAAACAAAACCAACTAACCGACCAACCAACCCAACCCAACCAACCAACCAAAAAACAAAAAAAAAAACAACAACAACGACAAACAACTAAATACAGCTTAAATTTAGAACACCATAATAATTATATTAATTAACATCTAAACTTTGAATATTCCCACAGAGTTACAAGAGGCGTTTGTCTTGTTTGACAAGAATCAGGATGGTATGATAACGAAGGAGGAGTTAGGGGCGGTCCTACACGCCCTCGGACAGCGGCCAACCGTTTCCGAGGTTCAAGCACTTATTCATTCGGTTGATCTAGATAGTAAGTTTATTTTTTTTTATCTATTTATTATAAGGATAAAGTTCAAATAAAAATTTATCTAAATGCATTTAATCGCATGATTAATGTTTATTTAATGTAGCGTAATTGACAAAATATGTCAACAATTTGTTTGTATAATGATAATAAAATACATTGTACTAGTTTATCCATGATAATTATGATATGTTTTTAGATATCGTTCGTAAACTCGATGACACGATTTCATAATTTCACGCTGTGTTAATGTCCTGTCAAAATCTTTTAAAATGTTATACACAAATAAATATTTCCTTTCCAGAGTCCGGTACGATAGACTTTGAGGAGTTTGTCAAGATTTTTTCAACGAAGTTGTCAATCGACCCGGAAAAAGAACTGCACGAGGTGTTCTGTATATTTGATGAAAATGGTGATGGGTTTATATCCTCCGATGAACTCTATTCGATGTTACACAAGCTCGGTGAACATATAACAAAAGTAAGTTGCGGCCGTAAAAATCGCCCAGAATTGGATATTGTTACAGTAACTAAAGCGTAATGGGGTATATATGTGTCTTCTATCCGTACAAGTCAAACGGTATTAAATCTGCCACTAGCTAGTTTAGTCAATACACTAATTGAGTTTTTTAAAAAGGTAAAAGTATTTTATTAAAAGTAAAAAAAAAAATATATATATGAACGCCCATTGTTTTAAGGCTCAGACTATTGTATTGCAAGGTCGCACTACAGATAGTGATATCGGGTTACGTCATGGACAAACCGTTCAAAAGGGGCACCGAACAACAAAATAAACAGGAAAAAAACGAAAGGAAATATAACTTGAACAAACTTTTCATTTTAATGAGTGTTTCTTATATTATATGCCAAACTTTAGTTTGGGGTTTGACGTTGTGGCGCCGCCAAATGTCGCACTCTCCGCTAAATGCCGCACTTCGCGATATTGCCGCTTAATATCGCAACCGCCGCTAAATGTCTCAAAATATTTTGCCATTAAATGTCGCAATCATGACGCTAAATGTCGCACCATTTCCCCTTACCGTTATATGTCATAACACTAACGTTAAATGTCGAAATATATAAATTTATGTCACAAAATGGTATTATGTCAATCTGGGGACTTGCTATCTATCAGATAGGGAAGAATTTCCTATGATGTACAAAATAAGTGGTTGAAACTCCAGTCATCTTAGTCGGTATTATAAATTGATAACTGTAATTTATGTCAAAGACCTCCTTGGTGATAAAACACATTTGTATACGGTTTCTTTAGCAGCCAAGATGTCATGGATTTGAGCTAGAACAACAGCTTAAGATGGATCTAACACACCGAGAAATTTATTCTACAAAAATTCAATTAAACAGAAAATTCATTTATATTTTGTGTTTGCTTTTCACCTACAATCAGCCTACGGTTTTATGAGTATAACAGGTAATATAGTATAATATTATGTATTATTATTTTGCCACATCTCTGTTGAGTTCATAGACGTAGAATTATTCCATGTAATGTAAAATGGCATTGCATGGATGGATTTGATTTGATTTGAAATTACAATTGCAATTTGAAATTTGTGTCATTGAAAAGTGTTACTTCGCTTTGTAATTTTTTCATCTTGAGAAAATATAACAAATGAAAGTATAAAGGCATATGCTACAGTAAGATAAACATAAAGATTTAAAACTGTCAATAGATTTTTTTTAAACTTAGCGCTTAGATCAAAAGCAGTTGTGTAAATATGACACTGCTGGAACTGAAATGAATTCACCAGTATACTGAACCGGTTCTGAACATATGGCTGGCTAACTTTAGAAATTTCTATCTTGATATTCCAAGATTGATCAGTTCTAAAAAAATGGAAGCTTGAAAGTGCATTTTACAAGGCTTGTAAATATGATGTCAGAATTGTCGGCTGCTTAAGTGTAATCTTTTTTTTTCGTGCAGCCCATCACATTAAATTTTCTATTACAAATAGCGTAAGTCGAATGCAGAAATTAAATGCGTATTTTGACAAAAATGCCCCCAGGTTAATATTTTGCAAACAAAGTGTGAAATAGATATTCAATGCATATAAAACGTTTCTGAAACGTTCATGTTTTGCAAAAATGAAATAATTCTATTATATACACAAAATGAAAAGTAGAAAAAACTCTAAATTCAAACTTTTCCAAGAAATTAGATATGATCTTTTTAAAATTTCAAAGCGGACTTAAAGGACGAAAACTGATTCCCCACTTGATTTGCATTATTATTGTTGTATATAAACCAATTCAAGACATATCTGTGAAAAATAGCCTCCTTATAAATTACGAAAAGGAAATGGCACGTTTTTAGGTCTGCCCTTTAATAAAAGAGCGGACAACTGTTTAGGGGAATCCTGTGATGCGTGTATGTGGTCGCACGGTCATTTCCTTCCAACATGTCCTCGATGCATGTATGTGGTCGCATGGTCGAACATCTGTTAAGGTACCGTCTGTTGCAAAATCTAAATATTTTTAAGAAATTTAAGTTTAACATAATAAGAAGTTTATAAATCTTAATAGAAGATAAATCTTACTTTAGCTTTGATACTCCAAGTTTCAACTAAATAACTAGGAATCTTTACTCATAAATAATATTTAATATCATAGGGAGTTAACAAATAAAATCTTACTTAGGTCTTTGTAAGCCCTAAAGAGGGGATAATAATCTAATTTGACCTTTGTAACTACTAACCTGGCTTTTATTCAAAGAACAAATAAGAAATTATTTCTCATTATCAGTTTTTAAAACTTCTAATTAGGAGATGCAAAGACTTAATTAGTTTTTAGACATTAAAACGTCACACTAAAAGTCATATAGCGACTTTCCATCTTTACTGTTGGAGTGCCCCTGCGTGCACAATCGGGAAGCTAAGTAGAACCACCGACGTTCCGTAAGCTACCTGTAAAGCTTCATCACATGAAAGAATCCCAAGTCTTAGCAGGATTTAGCAGGATTCGAACCCACAGCGGTTGGGGGTGGGGATGGGCAAGTAGACGGACACTAGTCTAGTTATTAATTTGCAAAAGTACGCACTGCAATACACTTATAAGATGAGTATTACACGCATCTAACATATACCGGCGTAATTCAATGGTTTTTACACAAAAAGGCCATTTAAAGTGAATTGGTCTATGATGGAAAATATGTAATGCCGTAAATATTTATGTTAATATTTTTAAGCATCATGTGTGACAACAAACCATAAAATGATTATTTTTGTGGTTGCTGATAATAAAATGTAATAAAATGGACTAGAAATAAATGTTACTAATTCAACATATACAATGTATTTGTCATATTAAATCATGTAGAACTAGATAAACATTTTTTGTTCTAAAATATTATGTAAGAATACAAAATGACACGTTTCTATTGTTTTATCAATATTTGAAATATTTCTTGAAAATGTACCAATTGTAGACAAATCCACTTTAAAAAAGATTTTTCATCTTGTGTCGGCAGATGGAACGGGACATTCCTTTCTGTCCAAAAGTTTCTAAATATATACAAACATTTACTCAATGTTTATTGTAATCAAATACCACCATCTTACTTAATTTTATCATGCATATTACGACATTAAACGGCAGTGTTGCGAAATTTGACAGCAATGGAAAATCGTGCGATATTTAACGTTAGAATTGCAACATTTAACGGCAGAAGATTATGTGACATTTAACGGCAGAAGATTATGCGACATTTAGCGGCAATGGTGCGACATTTAGCGGCAATAGTGCGATATTTAGTGGCAATGGTTCGATTATATCGACGCTACAAACGTTTAATTAATAAGACAATTGGTGACGCACCTTACGTCAACGTCTTATGCCGACCCCATTTTTTTATAAATTATTTAACAAAATCAGAAAACCAGGCTATTCGGGGCATAACATATTTAAAACAGCACGCCTTCAGATTCATGCTCATTTTCATAAAAGTTTGTATTTAAAAGTAAACTACTGTGAGGTGAACAATCTAAGTAATTTACATATTGCAATCGGCACTTACAATACAAGCAAATGACCAAAAAGAGTTCAAAACATGCAAAAGAAGCATTTACTGCGTTAGTCACACAGTTGAAATAGAGTGATAAATACTGCAAAATTCAGTCTTACGTTACATGTAAATTATTACTTGAATATCTTAGTTATTTCTTCAAATTCGATTTTTAAATATATTTTGCGGGGGCGCGCAGCTTTAAATTCAACATTATTTGTAAAAGGGTTAAATCCTTTAATAACGACTACTAACATATCTTACAGCAGGATTTGATCTCATGTACTATACATTATTGTTGTTCTGTTTTGACAGCATGAGGCTCAAAAGATGATTAACGAGGCTGACCTTAACCGTGATGGCAAAGTGGACTACAGAGGTATTATTCTTCCTTATACCTAAACAATAACATATATGTTTTAATGTAATTCGGTACATATAATCACATCGCGTCATTAAAAATCTGGGAGTTTTTATTAAAATTGACCAAATGAATTTGACAAGTAATAGGGAATACTGCATCCCATTTCGCAATTCAAGAAGAATTTACTAGATTTCAATAAATTTCTGCAATAAAAATATTTAACCCAAAGATTAGCATAGTATTTTCCTATATCATAATATGCAAAAGTTCTTTTGTTTTTAAATTTCAGAATTTAAAGCCATTCTAAATGCGAGATAGCGACCCGAATAGTGCCTGATATGGGCGAGCCTTTTCAAACAGACGCTTGTTTGTTGTGCGCATAAGTGATATAGACGCTTTCATAAAATAATGCCAAAACATATTTCTTACTGTTAAACTTGTGACTTTGTGTTGATATTCTGTGGTTTTTGTTTTGTGTCAGTTTCGCCTTTCCATTATAAGCGAAAAGACGAAAGTGCACCATACGATAAATGCAAAAAGTAAGAAAAGCTCGAAAAACGTTGTTTTTCTAGGGTTAATTTTAAAAATGTCTCCATTATACATTGCTGCTATTATATGGGGATTTAATGTTTACCAGTCTGCTATATTTATCTCAATCCCTGAGGACCGAGGGAAAAAAAACAAATAAACAAAAATCAACTTGTTTTGAAAGATGCTTTTAGGCAACTACTTTCAGAGTATTACAAAAGTATTGCAAGGTATGTACATGTATATATAAACGTTCGTTCGATACCTCGCATTTTCTCAAATCTGATCAATGTTTAAAGATCTAACATTTTTCAAAATACTTAGCGTTTTAAGAGCTGATGCTACTTTCAAAATACTTAGCGTTTTTAAGAGCTGATGCTACTGTTTTTTTATCTATATTTGAAACTTCTTCGTATCAATAATAAAAGTATTTCTTTAAAAGTACAACATTGTATGCAAACGCTTTTGAAATATATTTTGTTTGTGCAGCCAGGTGTGAATCGTACATATTTTTATTCCCCTTAAAATATCAATTACATTATATTAATGTATCATATATTGTATCTAAGACCACGTGACCTTACATATATTTGATATACTACGGCAGACACAAGTTATTCATCCGTGTGAAATCTTAAGCTAAATAAAATCTTAAAATATAATTTAAAATATACACGCAATTTTACAATTTAGCACAAGTTTTCATGTGAAATCTAGTTTGCTAGCGTGGGTAAAATATACCCGACGCATAAATTTAGTTAATTTTCTGTGGTTAAAATTTCGAATCCCCTCGAATTTTACATTCAAAGACAAATGAAGGCCGCGTTTAAGGCAAAAAAAAAAAAGAAAAAAAAGAGCAAGCAAGCAAGCCCACTATTTGTTTGGAATACACGGACAATCAAAGAAATGTGAACATTTTACAAAATTAATTGTAGTAGACCCAAAATATGGTATTATAGCTTTATATCTATATGACAACAACAACAACAACAATTGCAAATGTATTTTTTTTTGTAATTTTACTCGACGTATTAGATGTATTCCCCATCATAAGTAAAAATTACCTAGCAGAAGTAAAAGTCACGTGTGGTATATCGAAATTTTATAAATCATAATCAATAATGCATTGCTTGTAAAAAAAAGTTTTACATAATTTGTCATTTTCATTATGGAATATTGTATATTTGATTTAATTATATTTTGAACTTGTATTGTAAGTTGTAAATTTGATTCATGGATATATTTCTGTTGTGAAAAAAGTGATAGAATTATACAATATGCTAAAATCTGTGTCTGTTTTATGAACAAAGATATGAACCGCGTCGCGACAAAACCAACATAGTGCGTTTGCGACCAGCATGAATCCAGTCCAGCCTGCGCATCCGCGCTGTCTGATCAGGATCCATGCCGTTCGCTATCAGTTTCTCTTCTTGTTATAGAGTTGGTAAGCGAAAGGGTTTTATCCTGATCGGGGTGGGGGTGCGCGGCTGGGTTTGAGCGGCTCTATACATATGGGGTAAATTGGTTTGTCAACACATGCTGATAATTTTGATTAAAAAGCAATTTTAAAATTGCCCCGCATTCGGCCCTTTTTAAAAAAAACGATAGACGTTTGGGGTCGAAAAAATACGGGCTGATCATATGGGAAAAACAATCGAAAATCTGGAGTGAAAATCTGTGGAAAATAACATAATTATTAATAATTCAATTCATAAGAATATAAATGTTATATAAACTTCAAGACCGTCAAATTAGATTTTTCGTCACAAACGGAAAGGGTTTTATAAATTATGACTAACTAATGTGAACTCTTGTACAACAATTTACTGCCGCATTGTGAATGAGCTGACTAAGTGATTCTTAAATATACAGACTAACCACACAGACACTGTTGTATTATTTCCTTGTTGATTAATATACTTACTTATGTGGTAAGTGTAGGTTGATCTAATGTTAGTGGATTTTTCTAGAGCCGCCGATGAGCGGCGTTCTAGTAAAATTCAAGAGAGACAAAGATAAAGTAATTTATCATTTAAAGATACTCTTACAACACAGTCTTTCATTATTATTATCTCATCTATGATATGATAATGATAAACGCACATTATAGGACCAGATTGAAGTATTTACTAAAATGTCAGACAGTTTACCTGTATATCCTATTACAATTATGTTAAAACATAACTGAAGATTATAATCGTTTTATAACATATGTAAAATGTAGACTTATGACCCTAATTACAGAGGCTATATACTGTTTTAAAGAGCTTAAGGAAATAGCCGCTTTAAGTTTATAATAAATGTGTAAAAGTTAAGGTCACCATTTTTACGTCGTTTCATGGTTGAATGAAGATATAGGACTTTAAATCGGATAGCTACCTTTAAATGGAAATCTATTTCAATTTCAATTCCACGAAACGAGTATTTGTTCATTCATATTTAATCGTAAACAAAACACTAGCTTTACCTTCTTGTTAGGTAGTGCATAAAATCTATATATTTAACCTGGATCTATATTGTCATAATATGTGTTTAAGTGACAGCGTTATATCTAGTATCCTGTGTTATAAACTATGTTAATCAAATAAAAAAGGTTTAATATTGTGTGGAGTAAAATGACTTGCAAATATGCATAAAAATTATATAATAACATTGCTTTATGCCCGGCTAAATGTGCAAATTTTTGGCGTATGATACATTATATCTTTAACAGCTGGAGAAACGGATCATATTTTACGCAAATAGTTTATAATTAGGTTATATATATCACTGAATACGTTGAATGCAAAGTATTTGTTGAGGATGCAATTTACATACTAAGGAGTGTTTATTATCTGTTTATATTCTTAAAAATGAGCCAAGAAAACAAAAGGCCGTGTAAGTTAGAGCTTGATGAACAGTCAGCCGAGGCAAGTTACGAGGATCCTGTCGTGTCTTTGCAGCTAAAATTTGCAAATATGTCACCAGATGATTATGTCTTCTGTCGTAATCATTTAAAATGTTCGTCAATCACGAAATGTAATACAAAAGATCAAGGCTCACAGTCTGACGTACACCTACATACACCTGCACGCGCTTCTACGAACACGCAGACGGACTTTGCCGTTGATACAACTGGCAAATTACCAAAAGTGTCGGGTAAATATGCAAATTCACTTACTTAAAAAAATCACATGTAAAGAAAGCGCTTTAATTTATTGTTGAGTACTGTAGTAATAAAGCATTACAGTTAATTAAGATGATAAAGTTGTGATAAATGAAAAAAATGAAGCAATCAATGAGCATGGTATGTAGTACTTAACGCACTGGGTATGTATGTGTACTTGTAAACACATTTTCAACAGGTCACCAAAAAATCAGGCTATACATTCTAAATTTAGTTTTACAAAATTACTACTTTTAAATACTTCAGGTACGTAGAACAGCTATACTGTAATATATAAACTAGGTTTTTTACTCGTTGCGCTACTGAAATTATTTAAACCTATATTGAAATTTTATTTGAACGAGGGGGGTAACCCACCCGTTATGGCTTTGCAAAGTGTACAAATCCAAAAAGAATCAGTTTGTACACAAACCCTGTGTAAAGGACTTTTTTTATTTCACACCGCAGATTCTAAAGTAGGGGTGGATATTGCAAAGAAAAATCATATTGCGATATATTGCAATATTTACAGGCATATTGAACTTTATTGCGATATATTGTTAACTATATTAAATGACTTAATTAAAGAGTTTATCATTTAATATTATGTCCCAATATATGGTATGTCAGAGGCACTGCCTTTAATGAAAGATTGCACAATGTGTTAAAATGGCATTGTAAATGAAAAAGTTTAAATAAGTTAATGTAAAATTGTAAATGTCATTTGAAGTCAAGGTAATGCAATGTGATTACACTTCTATCTTTAAAAGAATTTTATGTTTTTATTTAAATTTTATAGCTTTAATATATTGCGATATCTGAAAACATCTTACAATACATATTGCAAGATAAATATTGCGATACTCAATAAATTGCTACATACATGTATTGCACAACCATATTCCTAGGAAAAAAACATACTTAACCTATTTTTTGTATTAATGGTACAGTTTCTACAAGTACAATATTCTTTTGATATGGAACTTTTGGACCTGAAAAATAAAAACGAGGCTAGAATGCAAGCGTACACTATGGAGTCTATATGGATGTTTTGACTTGGATCGAAGATAAATAGAGTAAAATGTTCATTTAATATTTGTATTTTTTATTTAGAAAAAGAAAAAAAAAAGAAAAAAAAAAACAACAACAACAAAAAAGAAGAAAAAAAGAAGAAAAAAAACAACAACACAAATCGAAGCTAAATTGATGTTTGGAGCCGTAAATGATTTACATTATGACATCACTTAGTGCAAATGCTGGATATTCATTAGTTAAAGTAACTATTCCAGGTTTGAAATAAGTAGGTTTATGTACTATCGTAGATTAAAAAAGGTGTCCGTACTATTTCAGTTAATAAGGTTATGTTGCCTAGTATAGTATATGTATTGTATTTAAAATATCTGCATGTGTTTGAATAATAATTTGACACTTGACTTTATATTTCGAAGTGTATTCATTTTATCACACTTCATTGTCAATGAGATGAAGGAAGTACCACGATAAAATTACGTCACAATACTGCAATCCCTCTTACTATACCCAATCCCTTTTCCTTGAACAAGCGATAAAGCCCATCTCACACAGGACACACGGCTTACACGGTTGGCCACCCGTGTAAACCGTACATTCAACCGAACTAACCGTAGCGTTATCCGAGTTACACTCGGGCAATTCGAGTGTATCCGTGTAAGCCGTGTATGATTTTTAAAAATTTTAAAAAAAAATGGTACGGATGCCCTGTCCGTTTATCAACCGTATAAGCACCCGTCAAACCGTAAAGGGGCCGTTGGAGACCGTATGAGGGGGCCTTATACCCGTAAATGTGAAGTCCATTTTCCCCGAGTGGGGGCCCCAAACCCTTCAAAGGTCGTATTAAATCGTTGGGAACTTCGAGGGGCCTCCCCAAGTCCTACATACACCGATTAACACCAAATTGCACAAGATAGGTAATTCAAAACAGTGCACACACGGTTTCATACGATCGCCATATGACCAATACGGTTCATATACGAAACATACATGGCCGACACGGTAAAGTACGGGTATACACGGTCTCACACTGCCTCGTACGGTCTAACACGGCTCAGCAAGAACGGTACAAAAAACACAACTAACTGCTGCCACCCTACCAATAGTGCTTGCTGCATCACACTAGAATGTATCCAAAGAAGAAGTCTTGGACGCATAGAAGGAATACAAGAAGAACCATCCAGGCCCACCGACCACTCAAACTTATTGACCCTGATAAGGTGGAGGACCAACCGGCAATAACCGTGTCTCCCAGGGATTCAGACTCCAATGCCAGCTCGGTGGACCCTCCAGCAACCGCTGCACAACAGAAAAAAGACACATTCATTTTACATTGCTTCACCTTTTTATTCATTTATTGATGTTAATATTAGTTAAAAAGATTGTTGACAGGTTATATGGCCTTATATAAACGGCTGTTTGTAAAATATAACCCAGCAAGCATCATTTTTAGAGGAATAAAGCGAGATTTCTTTATAAATCGACAACAGCCGTGTATATAAAACTATTTAAACGTCACGATTATCCAATGAAAAGCGACGTTACGAACGTGCAGTTTTATAATGATCTATATACAGGTGTTCTTTGTTGAAATTTCGAAAGCCAAGACATCAAAACGGGTTAATTTATATCAAAACATACACAAATGTTTGATATTTCGAGTTTTACTCGAACAAAAGTCGGCGGGACCCTATGTAAACCCTGTGAAAGTCGAGTAAATCGAGTAAAAGTCGTGTTTAATCGTACCAGACCGTACTAGACCGTACTTGGAACCGTACAGCAGTCGTATATATTCGTATGCAAATCGTGTTCAAACCTTGCTTGACCGAGTATATCCGTGCTCAATTCGTACATACTCGTGCTATATTCGAGTCTAATTCGTGCCAACTAATCCACAAGCACGATTGAAGCTCAAAACTCGTACCAGTCAACCCGTGTATAACCGAGTATACCGTATGGGAATCGTGTGTCCAACCGTGTTTTGTGTGAGACGGGCTTAAGGCCCATCATAATAAGTGTTAAATGAGTATTTGAAAGGGTAATTTAAAAGCTATTTAAGATTATGTCAATAAATAAATAAATAAATAAATAAATTTAGGAATGAATAAATGAATGAATAAATAGATAAATAAATTAACGAATTATTTATTAATAAATACATAAAGTTTTAAAACATAAATGAATGAATGAGTGAGTGAATGAATGAATGAATGAATGAATTAATTAGTTAATTGATGAATAAAAATAGCTTTAAACAATAAATAATTAGATAAACAAATGAATAAATTAATCAATGTTTTAGTTAAATAATAAATAAATAAATAAAATAAATGAATGAATGAATAAATAAATAAATAAATTAATTAATTAATTTATTAATAAAGCTTTAAACAATAAATGATTTGATAAACAAATGAATAAATTAATCAATGTATTAGTTAAATAAATAAATAAATAAATGAATGAATGAATGAATGAATGAATGAATGAATGAATGAAAGAATGAATGAATGAATCAATTAATTAATTGATGAATAAATATAGCTTAAAACAATAAATAATTAAATAAACAAATGAATAAATTAATCAATGTTTAGTTAAATAATAATAAAATAAATAAAATAAATGAATGAATGAATGAATAAATAAATAAATAAATAAATAAATAAATAAATAAATAAATAAATTAATTAATTAATAAAGCTTTAAACAATAAATAATTTGATAAACAAATTAATCAATGTATTAGTTAAATAAATAAATAAATAAATAAATAAATAAATAAATAAATAAATGAATGAATGAATGAATGAGTGTGTAAGTTACAATAAATAATAAGTTTAAAAAGATAAATAATTAAATAAAAAATTAATAAATTAATCAATTTATAATTTAGATAGTAAATAAATAAATAAATGAAATAAATAAATAAATAATATATAAAAGATTAAAATAATAAATTACCATGCCCTTGAAGTCAAGCTAATACAAAAATTTATGTCTTTATTTCTATCTTTAATAGGATTTTATGGTTTTAATAAAAAATTATAGATTGATATGTAAATTGTAAAAAAAGAAAATATTTTATTCAATTCTATCTCTTTTAACATGAAGAAGAAGAACAAGAAGAGGCAGAAGATACAAACTATTCGAGAGATGAAATAATTGAAAAGAACCTGAGAAAGCATTTGATCTACATCAGCCATTGTATAAAACCAGATGTTCTCATCCAATACTTGCAATGTTATACCCCAGGTAAAATTGTGATCATGCTCTTTTCTCTCTCTCTCTCTCTTCCTCTTCCCCCTCTGTCCCCCTTTCTCTCTTCAATGTTTTAGTTGTTTTGGCAATGGTGCTGAAATATTTTGATGAATTGTGTTATGATTTAAAATAAAACTTAAATCTAACGTTTACAAAGTGGCACGTAATTCTGCTTTATTCTGTGTGAAAATTATTAAAATGTTTGAATTTTGAAGAATAGCATATAACTGTACAGTATATTCCCCAATAAAGCTTCATTATTCCCTATTACAGCTTAATTATTCACTAATACAACTTAATTTTTCACTACATTATTCACGTTTCATTAATACACCTTCATTATTCACTTTTATAACTTCATTATTCATTCACTGTTACAACTTCAGTATTCGCTATTATTACTTCATTATGCACTAATACAACTTTATTATTCACTATTATAATTTTATTATTTACGATTATAACTTCCTTACTTACTATTTTAACTTCATTTTTACTAATAAAACTTCATTATTCACTAGTACAACTTTAGTATTCTCTGATACAGCTATCACAGCTTCATTATTCACAAATACAAGTTCAATATTCAATAATACAACTTCATTATTCACTAAAATTGACTTTTCTTGGTGTCTTTAAAATTTTCAGGAAGTTGAGGCCCCTATGGGTCTTGAGTTCACTAATTCTAGATTAAATAAAAGACGCGTTTACATAAATTATGTCTCTCACACCTTCTTTATGCTAATTAACTAACTCGTTATATTCCTAAATGTACTAAAACTGTACTCTTTCAGACCAAAAATCAGACATTTTGGCGGAAAAAAGTCCCATCAGAGCATCTAGAAAAGCTTTAGATATGTTATTAGACAGTGTAGAGGATCCAGGGAGATTTGCAGCATTAAGGGATGCTTTGGAACAAAATGGAGGTACTTTTTACACAAATATATATCTGATATGTCGCTGATTAGATAAGAAATAACAATTGCCAAATTTCCAGTTCTTATAACGAAAAGAGACTTAAAAGTGTTAAAAGTGTTAAAATTTTAGGAACCCTTATGTAGATACAGTGTCTTTCTCAAACTTGATAGGTTCGTAGGTTCAAAGGGATTTCTTATACATAAAAGAATCAACCCATTGATATTGACGATGTTAAGCGTCTCGGCAAGAACAGACATTTTGTTATTAAATATTTACACCAAGAATGTCCTTGCGTTTCACTTATACCTTAAATATTGGTCTCTGTATTCAATTCACACATATAACACAACCAGCTATATTTGTTTTCATTCACTAAAAGCTACAAGTTTTATATACATCAGTCGTGAAATATAATAATTTGTTATCGAAATTGTGACAAATCCAAGATATTTTAAAAGATTAACAGAATGATAAGTGATTAATTAATGGTGATTGAATTGTTTGACATCTGTTAAAGATATTTGAAGATCATTTTGAATAATGATATTGTCAGATATGATTCAATTTGAGCTAAATATATGAAGCATTCTTGTTTTAGGCTACCCTAAAATTGTGAGAATCCTCGATGGCGAATATGACCCTGAGGACAGGAACTTTGTACGAATTGTCGAACTCTTTGCCCCAGAACTTATAGGTTTAATAAGACCATCAGAGCTTTTGCCTCATCTTTTAAGCAAAGGAGTGTTCACGCAAGAGGATGTACAAGAGATAACATCTGAAGAGAACAATCATGGTGCACTTAGAGCTGCTTGCATTTTGTTAATGTATCTTCCACGACGCGTAATGGACTGGTACAGGTCTTTCCTAAATATTTTGATTGACTGTAAACTAGAAGATACTGCCAAAATGCTTGATCCGGACTTTTATATCGGTAGGTCTTTTACGTTAACATTGTGGTGAAGATTTTTGTACAATTTATTGCGTAAATACACAAATAAGCACCTTATCAGTTGCTCATGATGCAATTAATATTATGCATTTGAATTCTGATCGGAAAATAGGCAATTGTATGCGTATTCCATGCTTTTCCATTTAAAGTTATGCTAAGAAGTTAAACAAATTGTCTTCTTAATATGCCTTTACGAATTCTTAATTTCAGCAATCACGCAAGAGCGAGAAAGAGCACAACATCATGGTATTGGTTCAATCAAACACTCAAGTAACGCCCAAAAACAAAAACCCAAAATTAAACCAAAGCCAAAGTTTATTCCCTCTAGAGACAAAGACGATGACAGTGAAGATGAAATAGAATATACAGAGTTTAATGAGGAGGAATTAGAGTATGTCCTTGGTAATCAGAAAGAAAGAGAGAAACTTGAAGAAACAATGATCTATATTGACGCAAAGATACTTTGGCCGGAGAGAAAACAAGGTGAAAAACAACGTATTTTATTAAGATCCTTGTCGAAAGAAGAATATAGAGACGCTTGCATATGGTCACGAAAACGAAAAATGTGGAAACGAAACGCTCTGAAAATATTTCAAGACCTTTTCGGTCAGGTTAAAGTTTCACGAAATAGATGTGCAAAACCAAACCTGAGTAAGATCATGAGCCGGAAAGATAACAGTTCACCCAGTCATAAAGATTGCTTATATGGTCGAAGATTTAAAAAAGTGTACACGCCAACACGTTCATTTTGTCCAAATGAAAACCAAGATGAAGATACGGGGGCAAGAAGTTCAAAAGAAAGCTGTCAAAAACAAGAGGAAGATAAAGAAACTGAATCAGAACCGGAAATAGTCAACTCAAAAGATACTGAAAAGATAGCAGAGTGTTTAATGGCTTGTGGCAGGCGAATTTTTATCATGAAAGGGTCACTAGTTGACATTGAGGCAGAGGCTGTTGTCAACACCACGAACAAATGCCTTTCTTTCGAAACCGGAATATCAAAAACAATTAGGGATAAGGGTAAACATATCATTTCTATAGTAATTAAAACCGAATTGTGACTATTTTCTTTATGGGCTATTTCTTTCTCATAATACTTGACAGGGCTTTTTACTGCTTAAGGATGCATTCGACTGGGAGTCATTTGTTTGGCAGGTTGAACATTTTGTTTAGTATTTTCGGTACACATACCTTGTTGAATATATTGCTGTTTGAAAATATTCCATGCTTATAAATAGAAACTGAAAGCAAACTGAACTTATCACAAAAAACGTCTGATAATATTCCTTCATTTGTATATATAACAGTAGAAACACTTAATTGCTAATCAAAGTTTGTATGTCTGTATATCAACAAACAAATAAAATTAGAGAAATCGAGCAACATTAAACTGTAAATGTATAATTACGCTTATTTTCACATTCAAGTAATGCAGAAGTAATTGTTTGTTCTACAGTTGAAATAAATGTTCCATAACTATTTGGAATAAATGCTGTGTACCCGTTTTACAGGTGGATCTAGCATTCAAGCAGCGTGTCACCAGTTTCTGCAAACACAGCGCAGTATTGACGAAGGTGATACGTTTGTAAGTGAGGCCGGAGATTTACAAGCAAAGTACGTTATTCACGTGAATAGTCCTGTGTGCGACAAAAGGGATTCCGAGGAGGAAACACTACTGAAGAAAACGGTCGGGCGTGTGCTAATGGAGGCGTCAAGGAAACAAGCTCGCACCATTGCAATACCAGCAATAGGATGTGGATATTCTGGGTAAATTTATTTTATGTTTTTAATCGTTATTTTATATTATATCTCCTTTGACGCTTTAAGAAACCGCTTCAGTATCATTAAAACCTATTATGTTCCACACTATCTATTGAGTTTCCTTTTCTTTATCTGTACAATTAGCTCATGGACATGACTGTATGTGAGATATTGTGAATGAAAGAGTAATTTTATATTACACGCGGTATCGTGGTATCTTGAGTATTCATTGGTATGCCAAAGAACAATTTACATTGACTCCCATAACATCGAGTTAAAGCTGCCACATGAAAATAAAATGCTTGAAATCAGTATGAGGCAATTGCCTTGCGATACGTGTACATTTTCTGTGATGGCACATCTTCCGACAAAGAAGATATGTTGCTATTGGCGAGTATAGGTCATCACTTATCTTAGAATATGAAAAGGTACCAGTGTCTAAGAACATGGAGTCAAATTTATATCGGCTCCTCCGTGTGGTCATTCAATTCATGCAATCAAATCACAAGAAATAAAGCTTATTGTAAAGTATAGGAAGCACATTAGTATTATTGAAGGTGTAATTGGGTCCGCAGTGTTTTATTAAAAAAGTTTATGGAGTCAAATCCAAATTACTGTTCAGAAAATTTGAGCCCCAGAATTGAGGTATCAATGTTGTTGTCCACTAGGAGGTGGTAAGCTTCTCAGTTAGACAATCAAGTCATATCAGAACTGAGGTTGAGGAACGCATGTTCATAATCCTTGTTGTGCCATTGGGTATATTTAGCCAACAGTTTATCACAACAGATTTATCAATTTAAAGAGTCTACTTGAGCACAACACGGTGGATGGAGTTTCCCGACGTAAAAATTTGACAAGCATCTAGCAGTCAAAAATGTATTGCATCAAATAAGGTTCTGGTTTCATTCCAGTGGCATTTATTTCCCTTTACTTCAACTAAACTTTTTCTCGGGCAAATTTTATTCTTAACTGACTGTAATTTGTATATTGATCATAATATGTACGACAAACAACGATTGCGGCCATCTTAGTAGTCTTTCCCAATGGTCATTTCCATGATCAAAGTCACTTTGAAATCCACGTTTGTCGATAAAATTTGAGTAATACAAAGATACCACTTATACTATGCTATGGCTATGTTATGTTATGATTTTAAATAGACCCTAAGAAGTTCAATATATGGCCGAAACGATCAACGCGGTAAGAAAAACGGACCAATATATCCGGTTGATCTTAAAAAACCAAGCACTTTCCTGGAAATATTCATCATTGCTGGTTGAGGTATAATGTATTAGGAGTCGTAAACATTATTCATATATTTCCATTTTTATCTAATATACAATATATTTTTACCCATTAATTGAACATGTTGCTTGTTAAGCCTTTTAGTGCACAATTCCTCCTAATTTTTACATTCCTTGAGGAATTGGTTTTTGTACATTTCTGCTACTTCTAAACTTAATATTTTCATAACGTAATATAAGTAGTTAACAAGTACATTTCTTAAGCGTCTCAAATTGTATTTTAAAAATGTACAGCTTCCACATGCGTTAAAAGTAATGTTATTTTTATTTGATCCTGTCGCTGTTATTTAAAGAGAAACAAATTGGTCGAACCCATGTCTTTAGGAGAGATATGTTTTTACATAAGCTTATGGACAAATTTAAAAAATACAAAACTAATTGTATTTGTGAATTAAAGATTACTTAAAGTAAGTCTTACTTTTAATGGACTTTGCACGTAAGCTCAAATAAACACGATCAAAGTTTAAGCAATTAAAAAAAATGCCAAAACTGACTTAGAAATGATGCAATCTATTTAAACTTCGTATACATCGACCAAATGTATATGTTTAAAAAAATCATTTCTTATTTGCTATTGTAGATGGCCTGCTAAGACAGCGGCTCCTCTGATTGTTGGAGCTGTGAGGAACTTTTTCCGCGAGGAGCAATACAGCAGTGTAAGACATGTGTATCTTGTAGACCTTTTCTCTCAAACAACAAAACAATTTCACCAGGCATTGTGTGACACCTTCAAAGATGACGATAAATGTGTGATTGAGTCATCCGCTTCATGAATGTGATTATAATGTGATTGTAATTGAGGTGTTGGTGGACAATTGTGATATGCGCAAATAAATTAATCTCTGTGTAATGAAAGAAACACAGATTGATGCGTCCACTTTGGAATTCCATAGCAGATATTGTTAGAAATGGAGAAAACGGTGTTGAAAATTTAGTAACGCTCAAGCCGGTGCTAGGGAACGTAAGGGATGTTGCACTTTTACTTTATCCCTCATGTACAGACTCAATCAATTTTCATGTAATTTTGTTGTGATTAATGCTTGCGAGGGATCACACTTTTCCAGATTTTTATGTGAACTTTGACTGCAGTGTATTTATCCTATTAAATAACAGTATGACTACACTATTATGATAGTAAAACTTTCATCAAATAACAATAAGACTATTTTAAGGCAATTGTAGGTTTATTGTTTAAATATCCGAAGTGTAAACCCTAGTTACAAAATCGGAAGAAGCACGCGTTTTTTTTCATATACAGACATTTCATTTGTTTCGTCTAGTCGAGCCCAATACCGATTATGCTGCATCTACAATCATGGCATAGTCAGTGTTTCGGCGAACCCATCCATTTGAATGAGATATTGGACGAAAGCTTTGGAACTGCCCTGTACAGAAATAGTACGTGAAATACAAAGCGTACTTTAATTTTATGTCATTTGAGCTTTCGATTCTTGTGAAATCAATTATTAAAATGGTTTATATGAAAGCGTTGTCAGTAAAGCGCCTGGAAATTCAGCTACCATAGTAAATTTTAGAAACGTTAAAAGCACATTACGCTTCTGTTAATATGAATATCATTTCCGCTCTAAAGAAATGGCAAACCTTTTAAAATAAGTATATGCACTTAGGGCATGAAAATATATTTTGTCTTTTGTACACAATGCTTATAATTATATATTCACTTATGGTCAAATTGACCAAAAAGCAAAAGATTGTTTAGCCATATGGTAAGTACATTACCATGTTTAAAGTTAAACTTAGATAAATTCCATCTATCCATTACTCTAAGTGAGAATAATTCTTTGTATCAAAGAAAGCATATTCTTACAAATCTTGGAAAACTTAGGCACGCACGGTAAACACAGACTACTACAGTGTAGTAAGTTTATTTTTATTTGATTGTTTTGTCATTATCTAACATTTTATTTTATCATGCATATTTCTAATCTGAAAAATAAAATAAAATCAATTTTAAAAGTTGTTTTATGCCTTTAACACTTTGATTTCCCCCACAATCAAACGACACTTGGTATTGTCAAATAAAAATACTCTCATAAGAACATATTCACCCGATGGATTCACAGACCCCAACTTTGTACTGCGTGCGGAGGTAAGGACTTTGAAGAAAGTTACTGATTGATGCTAAAAGCTTATGACACTATTATTATGTTGATTCTTCGCCGCTTGCATAATACTATGTTACTTAAAATGCATGTACTGGTCAAGACGTTGTTAAAGTTTTTATTATTTGTTGAATGTTTTACTTTCATAAGAAAACCGTATGAATATCCTATTGAAACAGGACAACATGCCTAAATAATAATAATATGACTTAACTGCTTAAACCGGTGATAGGGGGCATGAACGGTAACTTGCACTTACCAGAATCTTCCATGAACAGGCTTTATTAAAACGAGTCCGCAGTTTTTATGCTTTTTTTTTATTTATTATTGTTTTGGTTTCGATTGTTTGCCAGCATGGTTGGTGAGGGGACTTCCACTCTCCAAGATTTATCATCTTATCATATCATACAGTGTACCTGAGAGTTACTCAGTTCTCAAGTAGTTGGTCTAATTTGATGGTGGCTTTGATATGTTTTGTTGTAACATGCTGTTATGTGTCATATAATTTTTACAGTAAACGTATTTAAATAAAAAAAATTAAAAGAAAGGTTGAGATTTGTAAATTCCAAGCTTTCTTCTATATAAAAAAACTAAACGAAATTTAATTTTGCGACATGAACGTTTATTTGAATGGTTTTGCACTAAATTTTCAAACAAATCTTGTAGGAAAATTTTGAAAATATATAAATGAATGAAAAAGAATGCGGCAACAATGTACACCACAACGATAATGGGAATCCGGGTTTTAATATTGCCAATAAAGGTACGGGACAAACTGTTACACTGAGACTGCAATTTTGTAAAAATAATATCACAATGCACATGCTTTTTACATAAAGTTATTAAATACAAAAAATAACAACATATTTGTTTACTTGATTTTTACGAATAAAAATAAAACTAATTAACACAACATAACATTAACTGCTAATAATAACAGCTCCTTCCATAGGCCAAAATAAAAAGCATTCCATAAGAGACGACGCCGCTCACAGGCGTCACCAATAATACACGAGAGGTTTTACGCATGCGTAAATAGCTGCGCTGTGCGCTGCATACCTTTTTAGGAGCCAAATTAAATGCTACATAGACGAATGTCTGTCTAGATCTGCACAGTTGTTGAAAGTAAAGGGGTAACACACGAAAATTATATTACGTCGTACTAGTAGTACATGTACTCTTCTTATACTGTGACATGACGGGTACGCTTCAGTAAATGTCGTTATTTGCCATGCATCCGACACAATGTATCTTATTTATATATATATACAGTGTTGCCCATATTGTCATGAACATTAATTAATTATATCCCGATTAAACGATATATAAACTTTTATTAAACAATTGACCAACGATAAAACATCGTATTTGAGCAAAAATGTAGTATTTAAGACATTAAGGACATCAGACACGTTACTAAATTTAACCAAAATAAAACAGCACGCGAGTGACATCGCTTTACTATATAAAAGGCGGCTATTTAAGTTTTTGAAACCAACACTATTAACACACAACTCTATCCAAATCATCTAAAAAACAAAACTTGAAAGATAAATGTCTTCAAAATAAACTTGTTTCCCAAGTTTTAAACGCCAAAAATATGGATATCTGGACAGATACAGATGTTTTATGACACTGTTATGCAATAGCTCTTACACCGAAACGTTTGATCCAAATGCAAAACAGTTTTATCTTTCAAGTTTTTTTTTTAGATGATTTGGATAGAGTTGTGTGTTAATAGTTTTGGTTTCAAAAACTTAATAAAACAAACAAATCAATAACATTTTTGAGATGAAGAAATTACTCAGGACTTGTTTTGTTAATTTGATTGTAGAATTTTCTTAATTTCATTGAAACGTCTCTAAAAGACAAAGATCATATGACAGGTTATATAAAGTTACAACTAAATATTTAGTTACAATAGAAAGAAAAGGACAACTTTAACGGTTCGACAATAGCGACCAAATACAAAAGGTAAATCTAGATTGTTTAATCAAGTTGAAAGGGTCGTATTTATTGATGTTCGTTAAAAAACTGTTATAAAGATATATCATTAATACATATACATGTATGTAAATCTGTTACTCCTTTTTAGAATTTACATTTCTTCAAATGTAAATTTGATATCATCGTTGCATTACGCCCCCTTAAACGGTACAGAGTAATACTTTAGTTTTATTCCTGAATTAAGATTGTGTTGCAGAGCAGTTCTGCTAAGTTGACAAGGATCGAACAAATGAGATTGTATTAACATTAACGGAACAGAACATTAGTTAGATATTTAAGACTGGCATTGTTTTACCAAGAAATCAAAAATAAAGATAAAATGTAAAGATAGATTAATAAATAGATAAATTCATAAAATGTATAGTAAATGGAAAATAAAACAGAATAAGATATGCAAGATATGATTCATATGAAACATCTAAGCATGTATATTGTAGTTTTCCACATGATTTTAACTGTTCTTCTCTACAAGTCAACATAAACTAAAAACCACTGTGCGGAACTTCTATAGGCATGAAATTTAAAAAAAAAAACATTTGGAAACAAAGAAGGGCCTTAATGCTCATTTGAAAAATAATCTTTCAAATATATGACAGAACGGCAAGCTCAAACAAAAGAAAGACGGTAGACATTTATGATCAATTGAGTGTGCACATTAAGTTTTTTTTTGTGTTTTCCCAAAGCAAAACAAAACACGGTATTCGTCTTTGAAGGACGATTGTTTTTCTTAGATTATCCAATGATATGCAAACTATATATAAATAGACAATTTGATATTGTAGTTTTTAAGTTGTTTGATTTTTAATTTTCATTGGCTAACAGGTTAGCGGCTTCTTTAACCGTGAAGTGAATATAATGCAATTACATTTATGTTTCATAACATATTAAATTCAAATCCGATAAGGGAATATATTGCACTTATTTGTGAGGCATATCTGAGTTATCTGTGGTCATTGTGATATGTGGACTTGAAGTTGAAGCATTTGAAACATGATTCCGGAAGATTAATTAAAAAACAAAAAACAATACTGACAATGGACAAAAGTTGAACCTTATACGATAACAACTTATACGATAACAATGTTATTACAAATCATTTTTCTAAGAAAATAATAACTTACAGATCGTTCAGCACGACATTATTGGTGTAAGTACATTTATTTTACTTTAAGTTCTTTCCAATTTCCACTTACCAATTGGACGGTTAAAGAATTGCCGGTCAAGGTGCAATTTCTTTACAAAGGCAAAAGCAGACACACACACACACGCACGCACGCACGCGCGCGCGCACACGCACACACACGCATGATTGTAGTCGGCCATATTTCCTAGCCATGAATGATAACTCCCTGTTTCCATGTATAAAATTCCACCAAATTATTCCCCTTTTAAATGAAATCGAAGAAGGGACCTTTTAAAAAGACTTCCATAAAAGACGACGCCGCTCACACTCCTTATAGCCCAGACCTTGCCCCCTGTGACTTTTATTTGTTTCCAGAACTGAAAAAAATGCGTGCTGGAAAGAAATATAAGACCAGGGCGGCTTTAATATCTGCTGGTCATGGTTCACAGCGGGAATACAAAAGCTCCCACGAAGATGGCAAAAGTGCGTAGACGTAGGTGGAGAATATTTTGAAAAAGAGTAGAAAGATTTTTTTTTCAAATGTTGAATGGTTTGTGAGAACGAGTCAAAAGTCCGGATATTTTCTGACTTCCCCTCGTATATTGCTATTAAGAAACAATGTACTAAATAAACAAATATACGAGCATGACGCCGAAATTATTGATACGCTATCATAAATATGAATAATATTTTTGATTGCAATCAAAAGGATACTCGTAATACAAAAAAAAAAACACAAAAAGAACAACAACAACAACAAAAAAAAAAAAAAAAAAAAAAAAAAAAAAAAAAACACAAAAAAAGGCAAAAAAAAAAAAAAAAAAACCCCAACGAAAACCTATTGATTGTGGTGATCGGCGAGATGTTTACATGTATTGATTTCTGAGCTCGACTTGTAGTGGTCTTGAAATATTCCTTAAGAGTTGTAAAAATGTAAAGGCGTTCAATATGCCAAATGAGAATCCTGAATAAAATTATTTGCTTGTTTTAAAAAAAGAGTTAAAGTTGAAACACAGATGTGCTTGCTGTCCTACATGTACGAATACATAAATTGCCGTTTGATCTTGTGTGCATGAAGTGATAATCATGAACGTACGGAATCAATAAACAATGAAATGATTGATGTTCCCTTTATGTTATCATATAACTATGATAAAGCATTAACGTTTTTAAGCAAACTTTATATTGTTTACTTTGTTCGGTTTGTTCTTTTTTTAGGTTCTTGAACTACCCAAAACCTGGCTAATTATAAGAGTTGTTATCATTCATTTAATGAATATATCTGTCTTTAGAATGTATAGGTAGAGACATAAGATAGTGTGACTTTTATAGCGGTATTATCATATTTATGATTAGAAAATAAGCACTGGACATTACATAATGAAAGTAATATCAGGAGCATGTGAAGCAATAACATATATAATTCTAAAAGTAGTAGTTTATTATCATAACATTATTTACCAAATTATATCAAATTGATAAGTTCGTTTTATTTATTTGGTCAAGGAGCAATACATAATTTTGATTTAGTTTGTACACTATACGCCAAAGAAGCAAATATGTAGAATCGAAGCAAAGGCTCATATAGCATTATAACTTTAAACGAAAGGTATTAGAATCAGTGACACATGCTCGCGCTGAAGCTGTCCCGTAGTTCTTTGAACGAACATTCGAACAATAATCTGGTACATTTGCATGGTATTTAAGTCGTTTAATTCATTATGCGATTGTCCATAGACCGTCATTATTATTTGACATTAACCAACCCCATAATTTGCATTTATCATGTTAATAAATAATAAAATCTAAGCTACCAAATTTAAAATTAAGACGAATCAGAACTATAGCCGTCGAAATTCATAAAATTATTCATAAACAAGGACCAACATACTTACATGATCTTGTTAATATAAAAACTCATTCTTTTAATTTTAGGTATACAAATGTAGCCATTATCCCTCAAGTAAGAACCACCAGCAACTCTTTTCGTTTCAATGCACCTAAACTATGGAATTCACTTCCCCAACACCTCAGACTGGAAGTGAATTATGACCAATCTAAAAGTTTAATTGGTGCATGGAATGGAGAGAGTTGCTCATGTACTTTCTGCCAATAAACCTGCATTATAGTTTAGCTCCATCTTTAGTTTTGTTTCTTACCTGCTTTCTTTTGTTTTACTGCTTACTTACATGTATCTCTAAAGTTGTTAATTCTTATTTGGCTTACATTTTGTTAATATTCTCAACATAAATGTTTATGTACATGTATTATTTTTCCAGTATGCTTGAATTTTTGTTTGCTTATTGTCAGCTTATTGCGAAGTTTGCTTATTGAGGAGGTTGCTGATCACTTCTTGCCAATTTTGAATTGGGGATTTTTTATTTTTAAAACCTAATTAGTTGTCACATTTTTATGATCCTTTTCATTTTCAATATCTTGTTTCCTTTCTTTTATAACAGTCCAGGCTAGACCTGGGTCAAGATCAGCAGAATCCACCCAACTTTTAATGTAATCTTATTTTATGTATGTGCTAATATGTTCCGCATTTTTATCTAGATATATATTATTTTATTCACTTATGATACAGTAATTAAATGTTATCCTTAGCATATCATTATTTTTTATTAATTATTATTATTTTACTTTAAACTATTACATTTAGTGTCTACATCCCACATTATAGTAATTTAACTTGTCTTTTACCATTTGTCTTTCAAAGTTTATCATAATGTGCTTCTTTTATGAGTTTTATGTTTATATGCATGTATGTCGGCCAAAAGCTATACATAGCTTATGTTTTGTAAAATGTTATATATGACTGTATACCGACAATAAATAAATTTTGATTTGATTTTAATTAATTATTTGTGCGCTCAAATTCTTTGTTAATGATTACCCGATGTGTGTCCTTTCAAAACAATCGTTTCAGTTACATTGTTCAGTGTTTTATTTACATGATAAATACCAACAAGCTTCATACAAGTGTAAATGTGATAACAAAATACGAATTTTTGTTTTGATCCGTTTTACCAATTTAATGTTTTATAAAAAGACGTCTTAAACATAAAATTATTAACGCGCTAAATCTCACGATCCCTACATTATATTTTTAAGGGAGCAATTTTTTCTACAGATATCATTCATGTCAGAAGATAGAAGTGTGTTGAATAGAATTGCGGTTCTCTAAGTTTGGAGAAAAGACTTATATGTCTTTTAAAATATTTATTTAAAGATAAAAACAAACTGTTTCAACAACGTTTTATGAAAACCGAAATATTCATGTGAGAAAAAAAGCATTGCCAATTAGAATACTTTTTATATTAGTTCATAACACGTTAATATGAACATTACATTGTTTTATTCACTCAGTCTGAATGGCCTTTTATATATATATATATATTGGACTGGCATATCGATGTGGTGGTATGTGTGTATATATTCTCTCATTTCTATCAATTTATCTGCACACTTGTATCTTAAGTGATCCCACGCAGGGGAAAGTATAACTGTATTGAATTTAATTATCTCCCTTTATATATACTTTATCTGTCTAAATTCATTGTATCCTACGGATCTTCTTGATCTTACGTGATCCAGTTGACTGTCGGAAATAGATATATAGTTCTCTGGTCCCAATCAGTGAAGAAGACAATAAAAATGTCATCGTTGATTTGTGAGATATGATAACAGAGAACAAACTCTATATCTGTGAATGTTGAGCTTGTTTCAATGTGTAGTGCAGTTTGTGACTGTATATAAAGCTGTTCTGAAACCATCATTTTTGTGATGGTGGATGAGCAGTGGCTATGCTTTCATGACTGTTCTGCTAGGCGCTGTGCCGTAATTGGACTGGCATATCGATGTGGTGGTATGTGTGTATATATTCTCTCATTTCTATATATATATATATATATATAAAACTACTGGTAGCGAAGCAAAACAGAAATATGATATCTGTACTGATGTGTCTACTCGTGTTATTTCTATTATAAGATTATGTCATGAGGTCGATATTCGTGTTTTTGAATATCGTTTTTATGTATCATTTTGTCCTTGTATTTGTATATACATGTATATGTATCTTGTATTTGTCTGTTATCTATGTTTCTTTACAGTCCGATATACAATCCATTATCCCATATCATTCCTATATCATTCCATTTCATAATCTCATTATAACAACTAATTTCTTATATTTCATTTCGACATAATTTGCATGCCGGGCCTTCGTTTTTACAAACGTCCCGGAAAAACCACCTCATGCATGCGCACTTTGATATAAATATTTTTCTTGGTTTGCGCCAGAAATAGTTTATCTTGTTTATTTATTTATTAAGGCGTATGTTTTATGTCCTCACAGGCATAAACAGCCATTCCCTACATGTGAAAGGACCATACGACATTGGTGGACAGTGTGGATTTTTATGTTTGGATGGTATTTTTCAATGGTACGAATTTATTTGGGGCGAAACAACGAACACAGAGGTGACGTAGGGATTTCCCAACTACAGCCAATCAGAACGGCTTTTATATTTCTTATTTACTTCCGGTGACCGGGTCTCCGTTCAACTAGCTAGTTAATTTTCTATATTTTAAAGAGCTCTAACATTTAATTAATTAAAGATACATATTCTTATTTATATATCAACGTTGGATTATTCACTTCTTCGGACCATTTAGACGACAACAATATATTTGTGGACTTTGAACATTTGTAAACAAACAGTGTAAATTCTTTAGAATAATTCAGTGTTTACAAATTGGAAGTACGGCTAGCCAAAACGACGGCATTCCTTGCAAAGGTATGGCACCACTAAAATATCCGATTTCTAGTCATTTTGGTACCAAGACATTTCATGCCCAATGAAATGAGCCCTTTAACACATCGGCCCACTTAAACTTATTATAATGTTTTCTATCATAACTGGACTCGTTAACTCTTAAAATAAGTGGATAGTGTCATAATACTACAATATGACAAATACATGATAATAACAAATCATAACTATTAACTTAATGGAAGATATATTTTGTAATATACAATAAAGATTGTACTGTTCGATGACTATGTTCGATTAATCATTTAAGAGTTATGTTATGTACTATAATTTATCTATAGTTCCTTATCAATCTCAAAATTGTTATAATGGTATTGATTTCGAAGTAATTAAATCGTACAGGTCTGTGCAATCACAACATTATTGAATAGCACCTTAATTATTATGTTATTTTTAATAGTGTTATTTGATACGTGTGTCAGTGTCAAATACCACAGTAAGTGGTATGCATATTGATCAAACTGATCTATATCAATATATATCAAATTACCCACGCAGTTTATTTTTAAAAAAAATTATTGCTTTTTTGTTTGAAATATGAAAACGTATTATTTTCATTTTATAAAATAAGAAGAAAAAAACACCTTTAATTATATTTTAAAAGGGTTAAGGGGCCGAAAAGTCCTGTTTGCAAGTATCCCGCTCTGTTAGTTACCGGTATCTGGAACTTTCAGCTCCTGAACGTTTCTGCTCTAGTCTTTTCACACCCTAGGTCATCATAGCATGTGGGATATGATAGCTTAGTTATCATTAGTACTAATTTTGTTGCCGCCTCCGTGGTCGAGGGGTTAGAGTCGATGACTTCTAATCCAGTTACCTCTCTGGCGTGGGTTTGATCCCCGGGAGATGCTTTGGTAGTTTAGCGCGGAGGAAGGTAGTCTAGTACTGGTGTAACTCTCCAGGAACGATGGTTAGGAAACTACCCGCCTATATGACTGAAATACTGTTGGAAAAAGGCGTAAAATGAAAAAAACAAACAAACAAACTCGTTTTGTTAATTTGTTTTTTTTTATTCAAGACTCATTTTTAATCTGTTTTTTTATTTAAGACTCATTTTTTAAAATCTGTTTTGTTATTAACGTTACGCTATTTCCGGTAGCATATAACATAATAAAAACGGAAATTGATGTTTGTGTCGTCAACTACTCCTACTTGTTTTCAGAAATCATTTTCAGTTTGTGCCTTGATAGATGTTTTGAAGATGTGCAAGAGATGTTGCTCTGTTTGTAATACACGTTCTAGTATTTCCGTTTTCTATATAACTTGATATAGCTGCCTTGTAAGTTTGTGTCGCAAATAAAGCTGCAATGTTAGTTTGTGTCGCAAATATAGCTGCAGTGAAAGTTTGTGTCTCAAATATAGCTGCAGTGTATGTGTCGCAAATATAGCTGCAGTGTAAGTTTGTGTCGCAAACTACTTTTTCAGGTTTTGCAAAATATACATGTATGCCGATTAGATGGTTTCAATAAACTATAAATTCATCTTTGTATTGTCATGTTTTCATTATAAATAATAGAATTATTTACTAGCATAATGTCATATCAGTATTGACAGAATTATTGCCCTTGAATTAGTGGAAATAGACTTATCTGGTACCTTTTGAGACAGGCGTTTTAGATATTTCATGTAGCAATCTTCGACAATGTTTCCAGTCAAATCTGGTAGATATATATATAGATATGCGTCCCCGATACTGAATGTGACAGTCTTTGACAATATCTCCAGTCCTATCTGGTACCTGTAGAGATAGACGTTCTCTATATTTCATGAGCAATCTATGATAATGTCTCGAGCCAAATCTGGTATATGTAGAGATATGCGTTCTTGATAATAAATGTGGCAATTTTTGACACTTTCTCCAGTCAACCCTAGTGCCTTAAGAGATAGGCGTTCCAGATATTTTCTATGGCAATCTCTGAAATTGTCTGAAGCCAAATCCGGTACATGTAGAGACTGGCAATTTAGATATAACACGTGCCACTCTTTCACACTTTCTCCAGTGTAATCTGGTACATTTTGAGATTTCCCTTCCTGATATTTCCTGTGGCAATTTATGACAGTGTCTCCAGCCAAATATGGTACCTATATGGACTGGCGTTTAAGATATAACATGTGGCAATCTTTTACAATGTCTCCATCCAAATCTGGTGCCAGTGGATATAGTCGTTCTACATATTTCATGAGCAATCTATGATAAGATATCATACCAAATCTGGAACATATAGAGATATGCATTCTTGATATTAAATGTGGCATTCATTTTGACAATGTCTCCAGTCAAATATGTTGCCTCTAGAAAAATGAGTTCTAGATTTGGTTTCTTTTGAAGCAGGCCTTCTAGATATTAAATGTGGCAATCTTTGATAATGTCTCCAGTCAAATCTAGTGCCGTTGGAGATAGGCGTTCTAGATATTTCATGTCGCAATTGCTGAAAATGTCTGCAGCCAAATCTGGTTCCTTTTAAGGCAGGCGTTCTAGATATATTTAAAACGCTAACTTCAAAAGGAACCAGATTTAAAAGTTCTAGCGTTTGACTAGCCAGGACTCGCTGTATTGTATAGCCGTACGGCACTTTTCAACATTATATGGAAGTCGAACATGCATATGTTATTTTGTGCCTCATGATTATGATTTGTTGTTTTATTTGTATGAAAGATGAATTTTTTATAATAAATAATGATCAGAGTGGATTAAATAAGAAGAACATTGAAAAAAAAAAAAAAAAAAAAAAAACGATGAAAAGCAAAATAATTGTATAATTTTTAAATACACAAGATAAATATCGAACATAAAAGCACAATCAATTAATTAGCCATACTTAAAGTCTACCCAGGGACTGACAATATAATTTTAAAGTGCGTTTCACGGAACATGTAAACTTTCCTTATATTAACAAACTTCTATACCGTCGGTAATTGACGCAATTATCAGAGCCTAACAACAATAATTTTCGTTTTTTTTGTTTCATTTTAAAGGTGTCAATAATTTAAAGTTAATGAAACAAAAAAGGATTATCATCGAATTTTGTAAGCTATTTCAATTGATGTTATTTAACTGCGACCAAACGCTATTTTTTCCCAACGCCTTGAGATGACAAAAAACTATTTCAATTGATGTTATATAACTGCGACCAAACGCTTTTTTTCCCCAACGTCTTGAGATGACAAAGTACTTTTTTACTGTAGCCAACAAGGCGATTTATCTCTAAAACATACGAAGACAATTGCTGTTTCTTGGTTAAAATCCTCGCTTAAAGACTAAAAAAAATCTTTTCACTTCCAATAAATTTTAAAAATGCTTCGATTTAGCCAATACATTTGGGGCCCTGTAGTCGTCGTGACTCACGTACGGTAAAATTTTTGGCTAGCCTTACTACCCGTACGGCTACCATTCCTTATATTTTGGATAAAGTGTCTTATTAATTTTAATTTATAGTGCCTTTATAGATATTGAAAAATGTAGATCTAGGTTGATTTTTTCATTTATCTTTTTTGAGCGGTGTAAAATCTTGATCAAGATCTACATGTGAAAATCAATTTTTGTTTTGAACCATAGATATACATGTATATTTATATTTGACTTTGTATATTTTACGTCGAATTCCACAAAGCCTTGTACTTCAGGCTTCTGTGACATTGATTTTTATCCTGTTGCTGGCATTTTGAAGATTGATACAGTTCACAGACATGTAGACACAGCATTTAACTATCAGGTGGTTGGTGAGCTAACACTCTGTCTCTTTTATCTTTCATCTAGGTCTGAATAACTAGTATATTACACCTGTCCCTATTTGAAATTATTTCCATCCAGTCTGGTATTGTTCATTTACTGCAATAAATCCAATATTACCCTAGATATTATATATCCAACAGCTGAATTATTTCATATCCTATCCTGATAACTTATTGTACCTGATTACTTATTGTACCTATAATAATAATAATAGTATTATTATTTATTAAAACCAGGGCTTGAACCAGAACTTTGCCTGAAGTAAGCATGTAGATTGGATAGTTTAGCATTTATTGTAGGAACAGAATATTGTAGTTGACTTGTGAGTAAATAATGCTAAATATAAATAAAGTATACAGGTAGGTTTGAAATATTTATTCAGTATCACAGTTGAAAAGTTGATAATTTGGGTTCTTCTCATTTAGTCATTATAAAAAGTCTGTTGATAGGTATATTATTTTACTTTATGAGCTAAAAATTAAACATTTAGCATTTAAATAATTGTCTTAATCAGGAGATAGGAAACTTTACACATTTATTTATTCGGTTAGCTTTGTGTGTACTTCTATTAAGTTGAGTCTGTGCCTGAGCAGGTAAATTTATAAATAATCTATGTAAGTAAGGTCTTTGGGATTTTTTTTTTCTGATATTGTATAGAGTACTGGACTGAACATTGTTTGTTATACAGAATTCCTGCATATAATTTCACAAGCCTGTGTGTCTCTTGCAATTACCATAAATTAGTTGAAATTTATACACTATAGCAAGTCACTTAACAAGGGTCTGTGCACCTCACATGAATAGAATTTTATAGACTTGTTACCTGTAGCGTGTCTGTAATAAGTTATTTATTAAGTAAGTTAAGCACTGAATATTATTCAGTTGAATTTATTACTGCTTTATAATAGAGACTGAATATCAGTTTTATTAGATCTATTGTTTGACAAACTTTGATCTAATCTACTTTAAGATAAATATACTGTTCATGTGACTTTGGAATTTTGTGTGTAATGTATGGTACACTGTGTGGGCCATAATTTGAATAAAGTTGAATGATTATTTTCTAGTCTTTGTGTTTTTCTCTTGAAATAAAATTGTTTTATTTCTATTGTTTGTTTTTTATTACATCGATATAGACCTAAACTGGTTACTGATGTAAATCACTTTTTATAGTGTATGGCGTACATTTTGGGGCCATTTCAAATCTTTAATTTCAAGTAACATTCATTTT